GTGATTTCATTATTTTGAAGTAATTAAACTGCTTTTTAAATAAGCTTCTGATTTGCAGTCTTCCCACACCTATCCCTTGTGAGTGAAGCTTTGTGGAATGTCTGGATTCCTGGCAGGAGGGGGAACACTGCGTGAGGATTTCTGGCCTCCCTTCATTTCCCCAGGGAACTGGACACCTCCTTGAGCGGCTCATCTTCAGCAGGGCAGCCAAAGGCTCAAGGTGGAGGGGAGGGTTTCTCAGATCTAAACAACTTCTGATTTTAAGGTCCCTCCTCCAATCTAGAAGAGAAGAAAGACTTTGGGGGGGAGGTTTGGGATGGGGCTAAGGAAGGAGACCAGAGTCCTCGCTATGTTGTGTGAAGTGGGAGAAAGAAAGCAGGGATGGCAAGCAGAGCTTCATTTGTGCACAGGGCAGAGGGCTACCAGCGTGAGGTCTTTGAAATTTTAAATCCAGCTATTTAAAATATGTTCAAAGACCTAAAGGAAACCATGTCTGAATAACTAAAGGAAAGTGTGAGAACAATGTCTCACCAAATAGAGAATATCAATAAAGAGACAGAAATTATCAAAAAGAATCAAACAGAAATTGTGGAGTTGATAAGTACAATAATAAAATTCACTAGAAGTACAATGAAAAATTCACTAGAGGGTCCCAACAGCATATCTGAGCAGGCAGAAGAAAGAATTAGTGAGCTTGAAGATAAGGCAATTGAGATTATCCAGTCTGAGGAACACAAATAAAAAAGAAAGAAAAATGAACAGAGCCTCAGAAACCTGTGGGACACCATCAAGCGTGCCAACATATGCACAGTCAGGTTCTATAAGGAAGGGAAAGGGAGAGAGAAACAAAAATAATATTTAAAGAAATAATAACCAACCCCCCCCAAATTTGATGAAAGCCATTAATTTATGCACCCAAGAAGCTCAGTGAACTGCAAGTAGGATAAACTCAAAGGGATCTATTGTTAGACACATAAAAATCAAACCACTGGATGACAAAGACAAAGAACTTTGAAAGCAGCAAGAAAGAAGCAACTCATCGCATACAGAGGATCCTCAATAAGATGAACAGATGATTTCTCATTAGAAACCATGGAGGCCAGAAACAGTGGGATGGTAAAGTCAAAGTACTGACCGGGGCGGGGAAGAAACCCTGTCAGTCAAAAGTTCTATATCTGGTAAAACTATCTTTCAAAACTAAAGGATAAATTAAGACATTTCCAGATAAACAAAATTGAGAGAGTTCGTCTCTAGCAGACCTGCCCTACAAGAAATACTACTGAAATAAAAGGACACTAAATAGCAACTTCAGTCAACATGAAAAAATAAAGAGCACTGGTAAAATTACATAAATAAATTAAGATGCTATAAATGTATTTTTTATTTGTAACTCCTTTCTACTGACTTAAAAGACAACTGCATAAAGCAATAAATACAAATCTATGTTGATGGGCATAAAATGTATAAAGATGTAATTTATAATAATAACAGGGAGGGGGGAATGGAAACTATACAGGAACAAATTTTTTATACTATTGGAATTAAGTCATTATTAATCCAAACTGTTGTAAATTGAGATATTAATGGTGACCCCCAGGGCAACCACCAAGAAAACAAATAAATTATACATAGTAAATAAAATTACAAGAGAATTACAGTTGTATAGTAGAAAATAACTAATACAAACAACAAAAGAAGGCAGTAGTGGAGGAATAGAGGAACAAAAAGGACATATGAAATACAGAAAAGAAATAGCAAAGTGGCTGACACAAATCATACTTTACCCATCACATTAAATATAAACAGATTAAACTTTCCAATTAAAAAGCAGAGACTGGAAGAAAAGATTTAAAAACGTGATCCAGCTACATGCTGTCTACAAGAGAACCACTTTAGATTCAAAGGCACAAATAGGTTGAAGGTAAAAGGGTTGAAAGTAAAAGGGTAGAGAAGATATATCATGCGGAAGATGTATCAACCAAAAGAGCTGGAGTGGCTGTACTAACATCAGACAAAATAGACTTTAAGGCAAAAATTGTGACTAAAGACAAAGAAGCACATTTTATGATGATAAAGGGTCAATTCCTCAAGAAGAGATACAATTATAGACATACAAGTGAGTGAAGTCAGACAGAGAAAGACAAATATCATATAATATCGCTTATATGTGGATTCTGAAAAAAAGAGTACCAGTGAACTTACTTACAAAACAGAAGTAGAGTTACAGATGTAGAAAACAAACTTATGGTTACCAAGGGAGGGATAAATCAGGAGACTGGGATTGACATATACACACTACTATATATAAAATAGATAACTACTAAGGACCTACTGTAGAGCACAAGGAACTCACTCAATACTCTGTAAAGACCTATATGGGAAAATAACCTAAAAAAGAGTGGATATATGTATAGGTATAACTGATTCACTTTACTGACCACAGCCCCTCCTTGTCAGCACCTATGTGTCCTGGGCACTTCACACGCACTGCCTCCCGTGATCCCTAAACATCCCTGTGAGGTAGACATGGAAACCTCCCGTCTACAGACAGACAGGAAACCTGCTTAAGGGACTTGCTCAGGGTCATGCCAGCAGCAAGGGGGTGGAGCTAGGAGGCTTTTCTGACACACGGTGCTAGGCTCTGGGCCGGGCTGGCGGCCACTGGGGTTGCTTCAAAGGAATGGGGAGGGAAGGGGCAGCTGAGACCCAGGGACACAGAACGTCTGAGTCTCTCTGAGGTCCCTCTCTGCCATTTTTTTTTTCAGGTGGGGTTGGAGAAGGAAGCAGCAGAGGCCTAACGACCCTTCCTGCCCCTCTTTCTGCCTGGATCTTTGCGGGTTCGTGGGGATTTACCCAACATGCCGGAAGGCCAGGCACTAGGGCCAGCCCACCCTGCTCGAAACCCAAGCCAGGGACTACTGTCTGGGTACACAGGCACCTGTGGGCTCAGGGAGCCCCGGCTACAGCCTGCTGGCCCCATGAGTCCCGTTGACGTCTCTGTTTTTTGTCAGAAGCGGGAGAGCTTGTTCACTTTCTCCACGCTGTCCCCTCTTCTACCTGCCCTCCACATACAGACACACAGACATCGAGAGCCACTTCTGGGTGACCCATCCCACTATGAGACCGTCAGCAGTGCCCTCTCTTAGGGAAAGGAGCTGCCTGTGGGTCCCTGCACACCCGGACTGGGGGCCAGCATAAGTTAGACACAAGCCCTCTGAACAGGAAGAACCTGAAGCGTGAAACAGCCCACCCCTTATTTTACTGATGCGACGGGGGCCCGGGAGGGAGCAGGCTTGCCCAGGGTCCTGGGCACCTCCTGATGCCCAGTGCTGGCTTTGTCCCCCACTTCTGTGGGCTCCCAGGGGCCTACGAAGGCTGGACGAGAGAGAAAGTCTGCACGCGGCGGCTGCCGCTTGCTTGTGGCCCATGGGCTCTGACCCTGAGGCTGGTTTGGGAAAGAGGCCACAGGAATACCCTTGGGAGCTCTGGCCAGTGGCTTTCCCTCCCGCCCCGTGGTCGGGCTGGCTGTGTGCAGGTGTCTTGAATCATCTTCTTGGAGGCCCGTGGATACTCTCTGCTCCCTTCCTTCCTGCATGCCCCACCGCACATGGACATCACCCAGTTTCCTACGGGGGGCCTGGGTCTAGCCCTAGAATGGTCATAGGCAGTGATATTTATGATCATTGCATTCAAACTCCCAGCCGGGGCAAGAGTGCCCTTGCCAACCCCCTGGACACCAGCCAGGGACGCTGGAGCGCTGCCAGGGGTTGGGACCTCACCACCTAGCGGACGGGCCCCCACACGGGCCCAGATCAGTCCCCTCCATCCAAGTGCCCTGTGCCGGGGCCCTCACAGGGCCCTCACAGGGCCCTCACAGGGCCAAGGCCGGTAGCTACCCTCTGTTCACGCTCAGACCCCAGCAAAGTGTCAACATCACAGCCACACTTTAAAAAGAAAATAGAGCCTTCTAGAAAAAAGTAACATAAAGTGAAATCAGTAACTGCGGACCTGGTGTTGGGCCTCCCTGCTCGCCTGTCAATCTGCCCTGTTAATTCATCATGTACACATTTTGAAGAGCTATTTTGAGAAACATTTAGAAGATGGCTCTTACGTAGCTGTATACCCTTATTTATACCCTCAGACATGGCCTCTCTGTTCAGCAACAGATGGCTTTGTTGCCCTGGTTTTCTTTTCGTCTCCTAGTCAAAGTCAAGCAGTTAGAAGCCCACTCGCTGACCCCAGGCGCACATTTATCACCCACGCTCCAGCTTGGCGTCAGGGGTCTGGGTGGGCGGCGGGGAGCAAAGGCTGTGGGTTTTGGAAGGCGTGGCTTCAGAGAACCCCAGGGGACAAACACTGGAGGCATGGTGGCTGCTGAGAGAGGAGAGGCCCGGAAGCTTGGGAAGGAGCAGGACCAGTGCGGGGAGAGGCTGGGACAGGATGCAGATGCCCCAGTGTGCTCTTCTCAACACCCGCGGGCATCTCGACGTCCACGAAGCACCTGCCAAGGGTATCCCACTGCCATCCAGAGAACAGGCTCCGAGGCCAGACCAGCTGCCCCAGTGCTGTGGCTTTGGCCTACAGGAAGCAGCAAGTCTGCCTTGCTTAGTTGCCATGGCAACCTCAGTGCCGAGGCTCCTAAGGGCAGGGGGCGAGAAGGGAGGTGGGAAAGGCACGTGGTGGCTTCTCTGGAAAAGCCCATCTGTTGTCTCCCCAGGAAACCAAGCTGGGGGGAGAAACAAGAAAGGAATAGGCAACTGGGTCTAGACAGAGAAGGGGGAGAAAGACCCCAAGAGGCTCCAAGAGCAGCTTTCCTGACGGGATGTGTTTTCCTTCCTTTGGGGTGGGGGACATCGCTGACAAGGATAAAGGTCTGGGTGGGCCCTGGTGAGGGCATCTGTGCAGGAGGCAGGGTAGGCCCTGTGGCCTCAGGCCTGGGTGGGAGTCCTAGGGGACCTGTATCAGCCGCAGCAGGCTTTCTTCTTGGCGGGGCGGTCAATCTGAATGGTGTCCTCCCTCACTGTGTCTTCTTGTTCCTTGAGGATCCTGGGAGAGGGGAAGGTAGAGTGTCAGCAGCAGAGAAGCTGCTAGGCACCTCAGGTTACAGGCCATCTGGGTCATGAGGAGGGACCCACCCTCCCCAGAGCATCAGAGAGTCCTCCAAGTCTCCCCCGGCGAGCACAGGTGCACGACTATAATTTGTAAAGCCAGAGTGTAGTCAATAGCGTCCTTCATAACACCTCCTCCAGGAAGTCTCCCCTGATGCTCTGATAGCATGTGGATCCTTTCTCCATTATAGCCCCATCACTGGGTGTAATGCACTGCTTCTGTGCTGGCTCCCTCAGCAGAGGGTGACGTGCTGATGGCAGAGACTGTATCTTTTGTCTCTGCAGCCTATCACAGTACCCAGCACACAGCAGAGGCTCAGAAATTATATTTATTGGTTATTAACTTTATGGTGGGGCTTCCCGCATGAGCACAGCTCCAGATTAACTATAAGAGGTGAAGGATTAAAAATAGCATTAAGTGTCTTATCCCTGCTTTATACCTTCCAAGAGCTTTCACCTGAAGCATGTCTTCTGATTTTCACAACCACCCTTGAGTGGGCAGGGAAAATACAATGGATGTTCCTATGCTGGGGGCAAAGCTCAGAAAGGCAGGGTGACTTGCCCCGGGAATCAGTGGCAGAGAAAACCCTAGAATTTTCCCCATAGCTCCCTACGTCTTCCACAACTCCAGCGCCTCTCCAGTGCATTGAAGAAGTTGTCCTGAGCTCTTAGTTACTCAAATAAAAATATTTTTTAGATGCCCCAAGATGAAGGCTGAGCACAAAATGAGCGCTAGTCAGTATTTGCCGGCTGGATGGATGGACAGATGGATGGAGGGAGGGATGGATAGATGGATGGAGGGGTGGATGGAGGGAGGGGTGGACAGATGGATGGGGGGAGGGATGGACAGATGGATGGAGGGGTGGATGGATAGATGGATGGATGGAGGGAGGGGTGGAGGGACAGATGGATGGAGGGGTGGATGGAGGGAGGGATGGATAGATGGAGGGAGGGGTGGATGGATGCCTAGATGGATGAACGAGTGAATTGCCCAAGGATTGAGATGGGGCTTGTGTGGTTCTGTTTCTTTACCCTCAGTGTAGGCAGAGTGGGGCCGATCTTTTGAGTGCTGTCCTCTCGGGTGCCTCTGTGTCCCCCACCGCAGCCCCTCTCCTTGGGTTCCCCTCCCCCTCCCCCAGGAGCCCACGGTATAACCCAGCTGGCTGCCAACTAATCCCTGCTAAAATAGTAGCCAGCATCGAGGGGCCTCTGATCTGACCCTTCCCAGGAGGATTTGCATTTCAATAGAGGATCGCTGGGAAGAAGGCAGGCTTTACGGCTCAGAAGACTGCAGTTGGGGGGCGGGCGGGGTGACAGGCAACGAGGCTTTCTCTTTGTCACTGTGTTTCGGGGGGCTGTCCCTCACCCCTGGGGTCCCACACAAAGGCCTAGGCCTCCAGCCGCTCTACCCAGATGGCTCAGATGGACAGAGGGACCGGCTGAGTGGTGTCCCTTTACCTGGCCAGATGGAGCACGGACTCTTGGGTGTTGTGACCGGAATAGGCACTGCATTCGTAGAAGATCAGGTTGTGCTCCTGGAATCAGAGAACAGAGGGCATGAAGGAGAATATGGGGGGGGGGGGGCTGGAGGGAGCCATGGGGGGCATGGGAGAATGCCCCTCTGCACTTACCACACCCTCACTTCCTTGTGTCGTCCCCTCCCCACTCTGTACCAGGTTGATTTCTGTCCCTCCTGCTCCCTGACTGATGCAGGCTCTGGAACTATCTCTCAGGGGAGCCGTAACAACTATAAAACAATAGGACCTACACTGCTGCCTTCGTGTTTTACACTTTCTGGAATTGCTGTCCGGGATGTACGGGCTCCTTTCTTTTCACACCAGCCTGTGATGCAGGCCGAGACACAGAGGCCAGGGTGGGCAACATCCATCCCACTTTACAGGCAGGGAAACTGAGGCTCAGGAGGGTACGAATGGCGGGTGGGCCTGTTTGGGTCACAGCGGGGCTCCCAGCAGCCTGCTTTCCCCAGGACACGGGCACAGTTAATTCATACACCAGTTAATTAATACGCCGCTGCCCGCGCCATCCGCACTGGCTCCACAGGACAATTGTCCATCCCTTTGCTAGGCAGAAGCTGGACTGTGAGAGTGGAGGTAGGGGTGTCGTGGCCAAGGCCCATCTTATTCCACTTGTCACTCCCATTAATAGGTTTCCTGCTTCCTTAATGACAATGCTAATGGCATCTGGCATGAGCCCTGGAGGCTGACGCCCTGGGGGGACGGGTAGCTGAGTGCAGACACTTCTGTGGTTGCAGATCAGGAGGCCCCGCGAACGCTGGCCCAGCTCCATCCTCTGCCTTCACCTGGTCTGGTCCCTGCATGCCTCGGTTGGGCCCTGACTCCCCTTCCATCTGTGGAAGGTTTAAGGTTCTGTGTGGGTGCGGGCAGCATGCAGGACCTAGAACTGGGAGATGTGATTTGCCTTCCAGCTTCGAGTCCTGACCCCACCCCTGGGGCCGGGTGAGAATTTGAATAAATCACTTAACTTCTAGGAGCCACAGGGTTTTTTTCCACTAGAAAGGAAGAGAGAAAGACAGAAAGACAGAAAGACAGAAAGACAGAAAAAGAAAGAAAGAAAGAAAAGAAAAGAAAATGGGATGACAAACTAAAAACACAGGTCTGCACTTCCTTAATCAAAAACCTTGGATCCAGATGCATTTTGGAATCCAGAATTTTTGAGTTTTAGAAAGTGAATACTTGTCTATAATACATATTATTTAATAGCCTCTGTGGATCTGGGATAGCAGGCTATAATCAAATATATTAATAATTCTTCAGTGAAATATTTGAATATTTATTCAAAGTGAGGTAAACAAAACCCATAAATAGCCTCACATCGGTTCCGGTCAGGATTTTTCTGCCAAACGCAATGCAAAAACCTCTGTGCTCAGAGCTCCTTGGACTGGGAATTGTGGATGCAGCCCATGGACATGCAGCTGTGGGACTCTCTTCTTCCTTTTTCCCTTGAGTTTCACCACCTGTGCCTGCTTTCCTAGCCTCTGAGGTCCTGAGTCCCTGTCTGGAGCAAAGCACACGGAGAATTATGGAATCCTGGGGCTGGGAAGCCCTATCTCCCCAGACACACAGTTCCCCAAAAACCACTCTGAAGCAGTAGAGGAAGCAAGGAGCGAGCATGGCTTTTGTTGCTGCCTGATTGCCATCACGCCGCGACAGTTCCCTGCTTGGGCAAGAGGGTCGATGCTCATTTTAATGGCTGGCTTTGCAGTGCCCGCCCTGAATTTATCTGGAGTTTGCAGCTTGGACGCTCAGTCTCGGTAGAAAGGATGGATGCTCTAACAGAGCTGCCCAAGGAAGAGCACGCTGCCCGACAGGCAGTGAGTGTTTCATCCCTGAAGGCAACCAAGTAGGGAAACACAGATGATGGGATTCAAGGATCAGCTGGGGGACTGAAATAAGTAACCTCCTACTATCTGAGGATTCATAGTTCTGAGTTCCAAGGAAGAGAATCTGGGAAATTCCCCACACCTGAGTCAAGTTCTCTGCGGAAACTTCCACGTGCGGCAGCTGGACCAGCCCCACGATGCCAGGACACCACCCAGCCCGCCTGCTGACTTCACAGGGGGCTCCCAGAGAAGGTTCCCACTCCGGCTCTGGGGTGCATGCCCGACTCCCCTTGGGGTCCCTCCCTGTCCAGAGAGACGGGGATGCTCGCCCCTCACCTGGGCCAGCTGCTCTCCTCTGGGGTGCATGCCCGACTGCCCTCGGGGTCCCTCCCTGTCCAGAGAGACGGGGATGCGCGCCCCTCACCTGGGCCAGCTGCTCTCCCAGGCCCCGCGGCACTTCCCGCTCCTTCTCGTTGTCAACTTTGTTGCCCAGCAGAAGAACGGGAATGCGGTCTCCCACAGCTTCCTGCGGAACAGATAATCCCCCAACTGAGAGAAGCATCCTTAAGGAGAACCGGGAAGGGCAGGTGGAAACACTGGCTGCAAAGACACAAACTAGCTTGCGAACCCACTGCTGCCATGAAGGCTGGTGGTAGCAGAGTCACCCCAAAGCACAGAAGGGACCACCATCTCCCAGAGCCCCAGTTTGCCGGGCTTCTGCAAGGTGCTCAAGGCTGCCTCTGGGTGCCTCCCAGCCCTCTCAGTGCAGGGACCCCCCTTTTACCCCGCTCCCCGTGACCTGGCACTGGGAGCAGGCTAGGGCACAGCTGGCGCTGGTACAATAGGTGTCCGTACGGAGCCCCCGAGGGCATCCCCAGGTGATCAGACTTGATCGATGTGACCAGAGTGAACACGGAGTTGCTCAAGGGGCTTTTGAGGAGGCCCAGGGGCTGCACGGTCAGCAGTGTACCTCTGGCGGCCTTGAACTGGGCACGTAGCTCCCCGAGGGCTGGGTCCACATCCGAGTCACGGTCTTGGGTCCACAGCACGTGATCCGTGACTGTCATGTGCCTCCCTGGAGGTCACCCCATGGGGACCCCTGTCCTGGGTGCCCTGGCTCTGAAGGAGCCCTGATCTGCAAGAACGGGAGCCACAGCAGTCGCACTTCATGGGCCAGAAGGACAGGTTTATTCCAGGGCTCAACCCTACTTACTCCTCCAGGGGCTGTCCTGTGTCATATCAGCCAGGGGCCTGCACCCCAGGGTGTCTGCACCCAGGGCCCCTGAACCCTAGGGTCTTTGCACCCCAAGGTCCCTGCACCCCAGGGTCCCTGCATCCCAGGGTCCCTACACCCCAGAGTCCCTATATCCCAGGGTCCCTACACACCAGGGTCCCTACATCCCAGGGTCCCTACATCCCAGGGTCCCTACACACCAGGGTCCCTGCACCCCAGGGTCTTTGCACCCCAAGGGCCCAGGACGCATAGCTACTGAGTGAGTCAATATGGTAATGTTCACATTTACGCAGGTTATTTTTGCTTTGTGAGATGTTTAATTAGGGGCTTTTAATCATAATTTGGTAATAAATAGTTATTCACTGCAGCTCTGTTTCACTAAGTAGAGAAGGCCGTGGGACACCAGAAGCCTGCCGGTGGCTACTTTCGCCAACAGTTCGTCTGCTTTACCCTGGACCCCATCAAATAAATGTCCACGGTCCACCTGACAGGCCACCTGTTTTGGGTTTAAACAGCATCACATTCGAAATGAAGCGCCCATGGTTCCTCAATCTACACATTCATTTTTTTTTATTTTATTTTTTTTGCGGTACGCGGGCCTCTCACTGCCGTGGCCCCTCCCGTCGCGGAGCACAGGCTCCGGACGCGCAGGCTCAGCGGCCACGGCTCACGGGCCCAGCCGCTCCGCGGCCTGTGGGATCTTCCCGGACCGGGGCACGCACCCGCGTCCCCCGCATCGGCAGGCAGACTCTCAACCACTGCGCCACCAGGGAAGCCCCACACATTCATTTTTATTGTAGTTCAGTAGTGAAAAGCCTCTCACGTATTAAATGAGAACGTTAAAGCTCAGAGAATCCAGGAGCACCCGGCGAAGTCAGCGCTCTGAGCACCCACCCTTTAGTGCACGGGGCCACCTTTCTCTAATCCTTCGTTCTGAACTACTATTTCCAATGACCTCTCTGCTATTTAGTGTCTCATTAACCGGAACTCTCTAAAGGCAGTATTTCCACATATTCGTGGTGACGTGGTCATGAACATTCGTGACGATGACTCAGAGGCCCAAGATCGTACAGTGCCCTCAGCAGGAGACTGACTTACGCACATGGTGGTGGATGTGTTGGGTAGACTTGGCCACATTCCAGTTATCTGCAAGTAAGAAACCCACTGATGGCTACGTGCGTGGACCATAAGGCTCCCTCTTAACTGGACTGCGGGTACTGGGAACACCCTGCTCCCCACCTGTGCTGTGCCGCAGAAACTTGCGTGAAGAGTTTTTCACAGAAAAGGAAGAAAAGGGGAAGAATCAGGAATGTGGGCCAGAAGACTTCCTATTTGCAGCACACGCGCGCGAGAGATATTTGTAGATTGATGTGTGAGGAATGACTAAGGCTGGTGGGATTTCTTGACATGGAAATGCTCTGAAAATAAGAGCATCAGACTTGAAATCCCAGGGTGGGATTCTAGCCTGGAACCTGGTATTACTTGTTACGGGCAATGGCTTGTTCCTCCCTTGTAAAGGGGATGCCAGGTCCTGAACGACCAAATAGGATGAGGTAGGAACAGTCAGCCCAGCATCTGGGCCCCGCACCATGAGCAGCCGGGCTGCCTCTTGGAAAAGGAGAGGCAGTCTTCCTTCCTAAAGTGCTTCCTGGCTAAGAAAATAAAAATAAAAGAGCTTAGAAGGAGCAGGAAAAAAAAGCTCAGGCCCCAGCTGGAGCGGTGGTTTTCTGCCCTTTGCAGTGTTCCTCTCTTATACAGACTCTCTGGACCCCTCGTTTCCCCTCCCAGGGCCCTGGCCTGTGCTGATGTAGGAGAATCAGGCCTATCTCCAAAGACGTGGCAAAAATAAGTGAGAACACACATAAGGCCAGGGCGTGTGCTACCCGTTGCTGGCAGCCAGGCACCCTCACCACGGCCCCAGGTCACCCTTTGACACAGGAGGCACTGGGGCTGGGCTGGGGGCTTCATGGTCCTCTCCGACTTGAACCTCGAGACGTGAGCTTTTTGCCTACACTTTACATCATTCACCTACTTAACGAGGGTGTTGGCCTGTCCGCTGCTTGGACAAAGGGGCTCATAATTATCCACCAGATGAAGCCACACTTACTTTTAAAAGTCCAAAGGGCACCTCCTTTGGTGACTAAGTCTAAGGCCACCCAACGTCTGTAGACATTTTTTTTTTGCGGTATGAGGGCCTCTCACTGTTGTGGCCTCTCCCGTTGCGGAGCACAGGCTCCGGACGCGCAGGCTCAGCGGCCATGGCTCACGGGCCCAGCCGCTCCGCGGCATGTGGGATCTTCCCGGACCGGGGCACGAACCCGCATCCCCTGCATCGGCAGGTGGACTCTCAACCACTGCGCCACCAGGGAAGCCCTGTAGACATTTTTATAGATGTTGCTGAAGTCCCATGGGCACACCAGGTCAGAGGGACAGGTCTGAGGGCAGCTCCCGGGCTGGGCACAGGCTCTGTGCAGGAGGCCCAGGCTCTGTCTGGCTCTGCCACGTCTCTCCGTGGGACCCACCCGGATCCCTCCTCTCTTCCCTCCCTCTTCCCTGAGCTGTGAGGTGGGCTCCAGAGCTGGTCTGACACACAAGCAAGTCTCTCCACCTTCCACCACTTCAGTTACCTTTCTCTGAACTTGAACTTCGTGGAAGACAGACTTGCTGAAATTCAAAAGATTCCCCGTCTCTGACTTTCGCTTACAGAAGCTGTCAACTCAGAGCAAGGGCTGGCTTTCAGCTCAGGACATGCAGCTGTTGCATTTGGTTGGTTGCTGTGTGCGCGCGTGTGCGTGTGTGTGCGCGTGTGCGTGTGTGTGTGTGCGTGTGTGTGCGTGCGTGCGTGTTAATATCTATTTGTTAGGAGGCAAGAAAAAGCACTTAGTGCTGCTATTTCTCCAGAGGCAGAACAAAAAAATTTCTCAGCACATTAAAGCATGCATTTATGCTCAGAAGAAAATGACTGCAAAATTATATATTGGGGGTTTCCATATTTATCCGCCCCCCCGGACGATGAGTCAAAACAAGGTTTATTTGCGTAGTTCGTTCTCAACCGCCAGCACTTTGAGCTCAGCTCGGAACGTGGGGAAAAGGAAAATCAAACCGCTGTTTTTTGCCGTGTGCTGTACGTTGTCACCGGTGGCAAAGATCACAGAGTGAGAGCCAGTCAGCCGTCCAGGAAGGGAGAGGAAAGCTGCAGAGCTACAACAAGAGGCTGCGTGAGATTAATCTCCATGGTTTTTTCTGGCTCAGAGGCACTGGTCCTGCTGGTTGATGACTTGGGTCAGATGCCACTTCCTTGATGTACAGGCCTAACAGGACAGTGCTCCTGGGGACGACAGAAAGATCCAGACGAGAAGCCAGGACTGCAGACAGTGCGGACCAAACATCTGGATTCGGGAGGAATACCAGCCCATTGGGCTTGTACCATATCCTATCTTCTCTACCTGACACAGGCCCCAAAGTCTTCAGATGTCCAGGGTGCCTCACGGTCTCAACATGGGGCCCTTAGTTTCTCCTCTAGATTGGACTGGTTAAACCAGCACCACGCAGCCGAGATGCGGTGGTCAGGAGGGTGGGGCATGCTGAGTCGGTAGGAAGGTCTAACTGCTTTGATTCCCTGGACGTGCACAGGAAAGCTAAATGGCGGGAGAATCAGCACAGAGCGTGTGTGGACCCCGCTTGGGTCTTTCCTGCAGGAGACCTGCGGGCCAGGTAAAGGTGCTGAGGCGGGAGAGGAGGGGCTGTGGGGCAGGACACCTCATAAGGCAGAGCAGTCGCCCCTTCTCTTGTGCCCAAGGCATTCGGCTCCCTCTGGGCTGGCAGGGTTCTCCCATCCACACACACACCTGCTCCATCCCGGCCCCCCAGAGAGTCAGGTGCCAGACCCTATAGAGCGCGGGGGCCAGGAGCAACCTTCCAGACGATCTGGTCCACCCCTTCGTGGAGTGACTGGCTCACGTTTCACGGCCAGGCGGTGGCTGGGCTGGGACGATGAGAATATCCTTTGCAGGGAACTCCACGCCTCCCCAGCCGCTGTTCCTGCCCGTCGCAACCTGGGAGTCAGTCTTTGCCGTGTATAATCCGTGGCAATGTCAGCCCTTTCCTTGGGTACGGCTTTTCAGGTTGATGGGGGAAGGGGCGCTGGGAACAGCTGGCCACCATTCACTTAATAATAAGGCTTCTGAACCCAAAGCCTGTTATTAAACAGGCTCCCCTCCACCCTCCCTTCTCCTGGCAAGGGGCTGGCGAAGCACTGGGGGTGCTACGGAAATTCAAGGTGCGCCACAAACATCAAGGGCCGATTATTCTCAGTTCCCCTCCGATCCAATTAGGTGTGAAGTTTTAATCTATCACCTGACGTCTCTGATGGCTGGCTGCCAAGGCGGAACGACTTAGCTTTTCAAGAATCTTGAGAACAACTGCATTTATGACGCCACAGGTCCATATCCTCAACACACAACCCCACCTGACACAGCCTCCAGCACGTGCTCGCAGAACCCTGGGGCCGCTGCACCGGTGCATCACACTGAGTCCTCCAGAGCGCGTGGCGCGGGCTGGGCACGTGGGTCGTGCCCCGCAAATTACAAACATCTTTGAAAAGGATTTCGAATCTTGCTTCTCCAAGTGTGGTCCCTGGACCAGCAGCGCTGGCTTGTTGGAACCTGTTAGAAATGCAGCATCTCAGGCCCCAGCCCGCACCTGCTGACCCAGGGTCTGTATTTTAACCAGGTCTCCAGGAGATGCTTCATGCATGTTAGAGTTTGAGAAGTACTTGTTTGGGCTGGAATCCGTGGTGGCTGAGAAACAAAACCACCTGGGGGACTTTTGCTGTTTTGGGGTTTTTTGTGTTTTGCATTTCCGGGACCTGAATCGTTCTCTTTGGGCCCTGGTGTCTGTTTTGTTCGAAAGCTTCACAAGTGATCCTGATGTCCATCTAAGCTTGGAATCATCATTTAAAATTTACCGGTACCTTCTGCTAAGATTTTAAAGCAGGAAAACGCAAACTACAAAGCGTACAGAGGAGCCCCATCCACATGGGGATAATTCTGAGTTAACCACAGGTGGATCTGCCGTCTCAGCTCAGCTTCCACTGGGGAGTGGCTCTGGTGGGGTGCGTGCCGGAGATGCTTCCCAGCCCTACCCCGGGCAGGATCAGGCCAGCCACGCAGTGCTCGACCCAGCCTTCTGCAGAATGGCCGAGCTCATGCTTCAAGCTGCAACGATGGCCCTCTGACATTTCTTCACCTCCACCACCACCTTCCAATTCAACCAGACGCTCCACTTCCTGGCTAGATCCCGGGCTCTCTGCAAAACAGGGGCCTTAGAAACTACAGCCCCCTACTAATGGCAGAAGGTGTAGTTCTGTAAGTTTCTCTCCATCCATCCCTTCTAATCCCAGACTATGTGCATTGCCTCTTCCCAGCTCTAGTATACGGTTGTCCCTCCCTATCTGCAAGGGATTGGTTCCAGGACCCCCGCGGGTAGCAAAATCCACGGACGCTCAAGCCCCTTATATGAAATGGCGTGGCACAGTCAGCCCCAGCCTGGAATCTGCAGGTTCTGCGTCCTCGGGTTCAGTGCACGTGGAAGCCCCACTGTGCATTTATCAAAATTTAGATACGGGGAACGATTAAATGTCTGTGGCTGGGAAAAGAACAGGAGACCTTGACCAGGTCATGGCCTAAATTTCTTCATCTGGAATGAGATGGCTGTATTATGTCAGTCATTTTCAGAGGGAAACCCTCTTGTCTAACAAAATTGTGGCTGAACTTCCAATAAGCAAAACTGAAAGTCATAGAGGGGTTCTGAGGTCGGGGGAGAAGGCCCAGACCTGTGACCACCACCCTTCCCTGCCTGTCTCTGGCTGGGAAAGGTCAGCCTGGTTCCAGGGCTCCAAGGAGGAAAGTTTCAAAACCACCGGGTTGGGTCATCCCTAAAGTCTCTCCTGGTGCTTAACTTCCGCGAGGAAGAGGAATCTGCTGGTGCTATCAAAGCTCATGTCATAGGGCTTCACTGGTGGCGCAGTGGTTGGGAGTCCGCCTGCCGATGCAGGGGACACGGGTTCGTGCCCCGGTCCGGGAAGGTCCCACATGCCGTAGAGCAGCTGGGCCCGTGAGCCATGGCCGCTGAGCCTGCGCTTCCGGAGCCTGTGCTCTGCAACGGGAGAGGCCACAGCAGTGAGAGGCCCGAGTACCGCAAAAAAAAAAAAAAATCATGTCATAAATTACAAAGTTTAAAGAGGGTTCACTTCCGGATCACCCCACCATCTGTCTCCACTCTTAGCTCGGTATAGAGCCATTCACTACATTTCAAAACGTACATTTTCTCTATTGTGTTTTAGACGCAATAATTTTGAAAAATAACTTGTATCGAGCACATTTCTGAGAAACTCCTGCATCTGGCTTCCATTCCTGCTCCTCATTTTTCTTGGTAACGACAAGGATGTAGATTAACAGGAGAGAAAGGAGCGGCCCATCCGATCCAAACTTCAAGAGAAACAGATTTTGGTGCGAGGAAGCATAAATCTTAGGGTTGAAACAAGTGAAATGAACAGACCCCCTATCCCGCCTGCACGGTGACACGGCATCCACGCACGCGTCCAACATTTGCCCAGCACTGGGGGACCCAAATACCGGTCACGATGACAAAGATGTGCAGAGGGCAGCGGGGGCCCGGGCTGGCAGCTGCGTCCCGGATAGCAGTGTGGCAGCCTGACTGATGAGTAGGTAAGGGGCTGGCCAAGGCCTACGGGCTTGAGCAGAGGGTTGAACATAAGCTCCATGGGGAGAGGAACACTGTCTCTTTCATCTGGTGCTGGAATGCCCAGACCCCAGGACAATGCCTGGCAGTGTTTAGAGCAAACGAACAAAGCACGGGTCCTGCTGACGGAAGGAGCTGGGACCCTTGGACTGTCTGTGAAAGAGTCGGGCGGGAGGGGGCCTGGCACACTGCCCTTGGCCTCGAGACATCTGCATTCAGTGGCAGAGGAGGACGTGCAGGTGGTCGGGAAGTAGAAAGCGCTTACAAAGCAGCATGTTGCAGGGATAACAGCGAGAGAGCGGAGTCTTACAGAGAATCCAGAATTCAAGGAAGAGCCCCGTGTCTCGAGGGCCCGGCCTGAGGTGACTCTGGGGGGGGCCTGGGTCCCACACATTGCAGATCAGCCTCCCCTCGTGCGAAGGGCTGTGACCCAGGCCCCCAAACCGTGAGCACAACGGTCCTGGGCTGGTCACGGCGGGACCCCCTGAAGCTAGAAAAATGCAGGAGAGGCGGTGGTGACTCAGTTTAAATGCCTTGGGAACCCACCCATCCTTGACACTCCCTCCCCTAATCCTACCCCGCTTTTCACAATCTTAATGACACCATTATTGGTTTAATTGGTATTTGTCCTGTGTCCTTCCCCCAGCCCCCTCCCCCCATGAGGGCAGGGACCGCACCTCTCGTGTTCACCTTTGGGTCCCCAGTAACCAGCCTGGTGCCGGGCACTTGGGTGGACTGACGCATGGACGCCTGAACCGGTTTTTTCCCGGAGAAGGTGGGGTGTGAGTCAGGTGTCCAGAGAGGGCAGCAGGCCCAGGAAGAGGGGCCGCCCGTAGGCCCCCAGCTCACCTCCACGCTGCTCAGCCACGGGCGCACGGCCAGGAAGGACTGCCTGGCTGTGAGATCGTACATGACCACGACGCCGTCGGCCTTGCGGAAGAACTGCTGGGTGATGCAGCGATACCTGCGCAAAGGGCCGGGTCAGGTGTGCGGCCTCCTCTGCCGCCACAGCCCGCCCCCGCGGGGAGAGGAGAGGCGGGGTTACCCGGGGTGGGGGTGGGGATCCTCACCTCTCCTGCCCCGCCGTGTCCCACAGCTGCAGGGCCACCCGCAAGTCGTCCACACGCACGGTCTTCATGCGGTAATCGATGCCTGTGGGGGGAGCCCAGCATCATGTCCAAGTCCGGAACCCACGCCCCAGCCTGGAATCCCATCAGCCCGAGGGCGCGGCCCTCGCCCTGCTGCTCCTGACAGGTGGTGTGCGTGGGACAGAGCATTGGACCGGGAGGCCCGGGACCTGGCTTCTGGTCCTGTCTCTGCCACTGACCGGCTGTGGGACCTTGATCCAGTCACGGAACCTCTCTGAACCGCAGGCTGCTCCCTGCAGTGTAATCCAGACCCTCTTTAGGGATCGAATGAGATCACATATGGAAAAGCAATCTACCAACGCAAAGAATTATCATTTACTCCCTCCTTGGGAAGATGAGGCGACAGAAAGACTGTCCTCAGATTCCTTCCTCACTCCCTCCCTGTTCTTCTTTCTCCCTAAAATGCTTTTCAAAGTTCCCATAGTACAATCCGAGTATCCCTGGGGGATGGATCGCACTTCCAGACTCCCACCGTGGTGATGCAAAGGTAGGTGGGGGAGGAGGGGCGGGAGGGGAGGGCTTGGCAGGTGGAGGGAGGGACAGAAGAGAAGGAAAGCGGTGGGGGCGGGAATCAGAGGCAAAGCCCCCTTAGAGATGGAATCAGAGCTCCTAATCCCAGCCATCAAGCCACTTGCGATCCTACCTCTGAGGCTGTGACCCTACCTGGAGTCATGGGTCCCAGAGAGAGGATGCAGGCAGGCAGGTCCCACAGCAGCCCTCAGACAGAGGACCTAAATGCAGGTGCTTTGATAACAAACATTCCTCCCTCCTACACCCTGTGAGAATGTTCACAGATGCTCAACCAGGTTTAAAACGTTTTTCCCCCTTAAGGCATCAGATCTTGGAACCAGAGGGCATCCCCTCCCAACCTCTAAAAGGCCCAGCCTCTGGGGTCCTTACTCTGGAGGGCTCAGGTAGGGACAGCAATAGCAGCCTGGCCAGACAGAGACAGACAGACTGACAGACAGACAACCAAGAGGCAGTTGATGGAAAAGGGCATCCCCGCCACGGTCTCCAGGCAAAGACGAGTGTGTGAGGGGCCGGGCAGGGGAGGAGAGATGGGAGGGTCATCCGCTCCTAGAATGTTAGCAGGACTGCAGAGGCCCTGGGCTCACAGAAGAGAGTCGGAGAGAGGATGCGCGTGTCTGGGTGAGGAAAAGAGGGACGTGTCCCATTGGTAGAATGCTTGGCATCCCCGGTTTCCATGTGCCACCTCTCCCTCTTCACCGCGCTCCCCTGGGACATCCGTGTGTGGGTTGCTAACTGCACGCACGCACGCACACCCCCATCCTCACACGTGCACACACGTGCACCCCCTTCTCCTCCTCAACCATGGAAGGATAAAGAAGCAGGAGCCCAGCCTCGCCCAAGCGGGCCAGCAGCCTCAGTGAGCTGCAAACCCAGTTCTGAGGCTCATTCCTCTTTTCATAGCAGTACCCTGGGCACGGGGTCCCTGGCAGCTCCGTTTCACCTAGAAAGTCCAAGGCTAAATGCTCCCGTCAGAACAGATGGAAACCAAACCCAAGGGTGTTTTCTTAGCTAAAGCGGTAGGGCTTCCCCCACCTGTGCTCTGGGAGGCCGGGGGGCTGCCCACAGCCTGATAACAACCCAGGGGAAAGCCAGCCTCAGTCATCACACCTTCGGGGCCTGATCTGAAGCCCCCGAGGATGAGCCCTCTCTCTGATGGAAAGGCAGGTGGTGGAGGGACGGCTGGGTCCCTCGACCTCACTGGTAATCGCTCTGCTGGTGGACGGGGAGCTTGGCGAGTGTCCGCTGGTCCACGAGGTACCCCTCCCTGCAGCCTCAGACCTGCAGGCCGGGAAGTAGACCAACAAGCCCAAGGGATGCGTGGGGTTTGGGAGGACACGGGGAGTCAGCGTCCAGCAGGCTGCACAGAGTGATGAGGGACCAGAGGCATTTCTGAGACCCCCCCCCCCCCCCCCGCACCCGTTCCAACGGTCCGGGAGCCCAGACCTCATGTTCCTGCCTCAGTCCTGCCTCTGACCAGTTGTATGACCTGGACGACGTGACTGCCCCCCATCTGGGAGGCTTCGCTTTCCCCATCTGTAAACTGAGGTGTGACGCGGGTGCTGGAGGGGAGTCGGGTGTCCATGGTTTTACGTCCAGCTGTAGCGTTTGGCAAACACGTGGAGGTGACCCCCGACTTGCAACTTCAGTGGTTCCTGAATGAGGACTGGACCTCGGGGGCCCCGTCACCGTGGAGTGTGCTGTGTGTGGGTCAGAGCTGTGGGTGATGGACCCCAGTAAGGGTGTCCTTTCTGGACAGGACAGGTCATTCCAAGCAAGAGGGCTTGGGAGCGGGGAGTGCCAGTGAGCTGTCCCAGAGGGGAAGCTCTTGGGATTTCTCTGCGGAGTCGAGGAGAGGGATGGCAACGGACTGGTGCCCAGGAGAGGGCAGAAGAAACACCTTGGGCCATGGGCCCTGGTTTAAAGCAGGGCCATGAACCAAGGCGGGGCCTCGGGAAGAGCTCTGGACTCAGAGTCCTGGGTCCTAGAGCCTTAGCCTCTAACAGTCAGTCTTCTCATTAACAAAATGAGCTCCAATGTTCTGCAAGAACATTTGACGTCTCCAGGACACCCGCAGGGCCCACCCACCTGCTTTACAAGGGGTCCGCTGGTGCTAAGGTGGGGAAGGCAGGGGCGCCCCAAGACAGACTGCTGCATCATGGAAGCCACTTCACGCACAAGCTGGAGGTCGAGGATGGGTCACGTGCTCCTGAGGGGCCGGGCGATCGCGAAGTCCCTTCGGTGATGGAGGAGAGCGTTAAGGCACCACCGCGCCCCTGTTGGTGCTGTGCTGAGGGTCCAGGGCTGCTGTGCTCCACAGGGGTTGGCCTGCTTGAGCCCCGGGAGCCCAGGACTCGGTGGCTCATCTGTGTCTTTAAAGGGAGCATCTTCCAGGCGGCTGGTGTGACATCAGCGCCCTGACACGTGTGCCGGGGAGGCTAATTCCAGCTGCTACTCTGGCTCGTTTTGCACAGCTCGATGAAGGGCGTCCCAGATTTGGAGACTTTGATATTTTTCCCCTTCCTAAATTGTAGGTGTTTCCATAATTGGCCTCCTGGGGAGTGCGAATTAGTCTGATTTTCTCTTTTTCAGAGCTTTCCATCTCGGGGGCATCAGTTGGAGGTGTAAGCAGACCCCGATTCCCTGATTTTACCAACAGGAGAGGCACCAGGTGCACTGCCAGAGGGCCGCCCCCGGGGGTACAGCATCCCTCCCCTGCCCCCACAGCCTATGCCCGAGCTGTGACCTCAGGTTCTGGGGCCTCCCCATGGAACGCTCCAGGGAGGGCCAGTCCAGCTCTGCAGCCGCTGTTTCCTGTGTCACCACACTCGGCACACGGGGGTCACTCCTAGCCATCCCTTCCAGCCGCACGAGGCCAGGCTCTTCTGAGCCGTCTTCCCATCAGAGTCCCGATTCTTCACCGTGGGATGCACCCAGTCTCTGGGTGGAATGGGGCGGGGGGTGGGGCAGGAGGGGGCTCCGGATTTGGAAACTGCAGAGGCTCAGCAGTAAGAACAGGGCGCCTACAGTCGTGGGAAGAGACCCATCTGCAGGAAGAAAGTTGGAAGGAACGGCCCGTTCAGGTTATCCTGGAGGAAGAGACCAGACTCTCCCCAGGCAGGCTCTGGGGCAGGAGAGTTTGTCTCGGATTGTCTTGGAGGGCCAGCTTGTGAGACCTCCAGGGGTCAGAGGTGGTCTGGACAGAGCCCTGGGCTTGGAAGCAGTCTTGGCTGGCCCGGTTCAAATCTCTCATTTTTTTCAGGTGAGGAAAGACTGAAGCCGAAAAGGAAACACCTCCTCCCGAGGTCACACAGCCGGTCGGTGGCAGCGCTGAGATGAAGGCCCGGGACCTCCGATGCCCCATGGGACCTTAGCGGCCTCCCCTGCCTGTGCTAGCCTCTGCCCGCCTCCTGTGGCAGAAGCCGGGCTCTGAGCACGCACAGCGCAATGTTGTTAGGGAGGCAGTGGGCTGGGACAGCAGAGGTGCATGTGGGGCTGCGGGGGGACCAGTATCAGCACGGCCAGCTGGTGGGAATGAGGACCCGTCTCTGGGCCTCAGCGTCTTGGTCTGTCCATTGGGCTGATAGCAGTGCTTGCCTTTCAGGGTTGTTGGGGAGACAGATGGAAGTGATAAATATCAAAACCCACGGTAAATATTCAGATCATATCAATGTATTTTTGTTAGTTCGTTTGTTTGTTTGTTTGTTTTTTTGCGGTACGCGGGCCTCTCACTGCTGTGGCCTCTCCTGTTGCGGAGCGCAGGCTCCGGACACGCAGGCTCAGCGGCCATGGCTCACGGGCCCAGCCGCTCCGCGGCATGTGGGATCCTCCCGGACCGGGGCACGAACCCGTGTCCCCTGCATCGGCAGGCGGACTCTCAGCCACTGCGCCGCCAGGGAAGCCCGCACTGTATTTTTAACACAGTTGACTTAGCGTGGTTAAATGGCACATAGGAGGCACCCAGAGGATTCATTTTTTTTGCTCGAGTGATTCACCTGGGGAGAAGCTAAAAGGTCAATGTGCCCTTGCGTCTTCCCACACACTCCAATGCAAGGAGCACCTCTGGGTGAAGGGGCAAAGGCTCCTGTTTAAATACAGAATTACCCGAGATAATAATGGAGGCGCATGAAGCCCTGATCAGCTATCAGTAGCTGAGCTTAACGAGTGTCTACAGTGGACTCCAGCTGTTACCCAGCAGGCCCGGGATGCAAGACGAGGAAATTTGATGGGTAAAAGAAGCCCCCGGAGCACTGTCCTCCGTCCTGCCCGTCTATACACGTGTGCATGCACGCGCACGCGCACACACACACACACACACACACACACACACACACAGAAAGTGGGGAAGGGATGACTGAAGACAGACAGGCTCAGAGAGGGGACAAAGGGCCGGAAGTCCATCTCTGCCAACTTCAGAGCCCCTCATCGTGGGCATAGGAACCGTTCGTGGTCCCATAGCCGTGGAGCACCAGGCAGAGGGGGGCCTCGCCTACCAGCCCAGCCCTCAGCCCCTCCTACGGGGCTCCAAGTCCCTCCCTGGGCACCCTTCTCACAGCCGCCCCTTCCCAGAGGTGGGCTGGGGTCCAGCCCAGGGCCGAGAACTCACCCATGGTGGCTGCTGAACCCGGGGAGAACTTGCCGTCGCAGAACCGGCTCAGGAAGGACGTCTTCCCCACGGAGGAATTGCCCACAAACACGACCTTGAAGAGCCGGTCTGGGGTGGACACAGAGCCTTCCTCCTGTGGAAGACAGACAGCAGGGTCAAATGCTGGGACGGCCGCCGGCCACCCCTGCCCCTGACCTGTCCCTGCGGTGTCCAGGGAGGGACCCGCAACCAGCACCGGGGAGGCTGCTCGGGCCTCGGAGGCAGGAAGCTTCGGGCTCAGCGCACCAAGGCTCCTTCCAGCTTCAGCAGCGGGAAGAGAGACTTTCATTCCACCACCACTGCTGCCCACGTGCTGCGCCGCAGGCCCTGCGCTGGGCCGGGCACGTGGTGCAGGGAAGGCAGCCACGTGTACACATAGTCACGGCACGATGTTCCGAGTGCCCAGAGCACGGACCAGGAATCAAGGGGCTCGGGGTGCGGGGGGGCTCTGGGCTGGGGCTTAAGGAGGAAGCAGAGATTCTCTGCAGGGGCTGGGTGGGGAGGACAAGGTGGAGTGTTTGAAGGGGAAGGGGAGATATAGAAGATATAGAAGGCTTATCTATAACTCGGGGGCAGAGGCATCCCAGGCTGGGGTCGGGCCTCTCGTTTCTGCCCCGTCACCGAAAGCCTGGACCGGATGGAGGACACGCTCGCCTCCCTGCATGCTGCTCTTCTGTCCCAGCTCACCTTCCATCTAGGGTCCCTGTCTGCCCTGGAAATAAGGCAAGACAGTCTCCACTCAGTAGCTTGGGAAATCCCAGGATGCCAGGCTACGGGAAGAACTTTCCAGAACACAGTCATGGTGGTCCTTCTCCACCCGGCAGCGGGACAGACTGGGAACTGGCCTGCCTGTTACTCTGGCGTGTACGGCCCAGCGGGAAGTGGACTTGCTCCAGGATGCTGGGTGAGTGAGAGGCAGAGTGAGGACCGGCACAGGGCCCTTCCTCCGATGGTCATTAAGTCCAGAGAGCCACGTGCTCCCCCAGCACTGCCAGGCCAGATGAGGAGGCTTTTCAGAATCTATTTGGAAGTGGATTTGGGGGGAATTAGCTCCTCTCACCGAGCTAATACTATAGCGGAGTAGCAGCAGATATTAGCAGTACTTGAATTTCAGAGAAAAGCCATTAACAGCCTTTTGGGGAGAAATCAATTCCATGCTGTACTTAGGAGGGAATTCAAGGTCAATTACAGAAACCTAAACCCAACTTAAAAAAAAAAAAAAAAAGAGAGAGAAACCCACACTCAGAAACACTGCCCGGCCCCAGTTTCTTTATTCCTGCATGCACAAGCACCACTCTCTGCCAGGCTCGTGCTCCGTTTGTCCTTTGTTTGGGACCGAAGCTCAGTGCAGCCACTGGCCCACCCCAGGCCCGGGGCCGGTGGGAGGAGATGGTCTTGGCTGCAGACGCAGTGGCGGACCTTCTCTGTGCTCCCCTCACCCTGGCCCCCGCCTGCGGCAGGACACTTATTCCGCAGACAGGATATGATCAACCCGATGATGGTTCAGTTTGGGGAAGGACCCACCTCACAGGAGCAGCGAAGCTGTTCCAGTTCTTGCCCTTAACCTGGGGGACAAACCACCTGCCCGCAAACGACAGTGAGACAACAACATTGTGGGGAGGGGCCGGAGAAAGGCTCCCTCCACTGGCAAGTCAGGGGATCTGTTCTCATTCTCCTTCCCACCACTGTTTTTATTTTTTTAAAGCTTTAAAAAATGAAAGTAATACATACTAATTTCTAAAATTAGGAAACTTAGCAGAGAGGAAATGAATGACTATTCATAATTTACCCCCCAACCCTGAAATGGTCACTATTCCTATTTGGATACATTTCTTCCAGGTTTTTTTTTATATAGATGAATCAATATATGTTTTTTTGAGAGAAATTTGAGATACTATGTATACTTTATTTATATTATTATATATAATATAAATTTATGTATAATTTTCTATTTGTTCCTATGTTATTGAATTATATATAAATATTTCTGAGTCACTGAAGTTTTCCAAAAATGTGATTTTTAATAGCACTATAACATTCTATTAAATTAACATAGTCTAATTTATGTCCCTACTGTTGTTTTTTCAGTTATTTGCTCTTATGCACTTACATTCTTGGATTAAATTTTTGTCTGGTTTTGGTTATTTCCTTAGGAAAGGTTGCTAGAAGTAGGAGGGCTGGTTCAAAGGAGGCGGACTTTTAAAGTTCTTGATTCCTATTATCAAACTACTTTCCCGAAAGCTGGTACCAATTGATGGCTCAGCGGCCTTGCAAGGGGCCCTCTGTGGAGGCTGCTGTGTGACTGGCTTCCAGCAGACACACTTCCTCTCTGCTGCAGCTTCTGTCCCAGCTAAACAGCACCGCATCCCGGTGCAGCCGGTGGGGCTGCAGAGCGGTGGGTGCGAAGGCTGGGCTCCCCTCACTGCGGGCTGGGTGGGCCTCCTCGCTCTGGGCTCTACTTCCCCACCCGCCTGAGGGGAGAACAGATCTCTGATGCCTGTCATCCAACAACCGCAAGGATCAGGTGCCACGGCAGACACGGACGCTCAGCCTCTTCCTTCCCCCCATCTCTCGTGGCCCTCTTAACACTTCTTTCACATTTGGGGGGCTATCGTGGGGTATTTAAAGCCCCATTTGTGCCCACTGCCAGCAAGTGTAGTCTGTCCACTTTGGGGATGTAGAAGGGGGTGTAGGGGGGCTGCCCCACGCACCAAGGGCCCTTCAGAGGAGTGGTTTGTAGGCATGAATCTTAATCCAGGCCCAAGAATGATAACCGAGGCCAAGAAGTCCCCGTGCAGGGGCTGGAGAGGGCTCACTGGCACGCACGCCAACGCCTCACTCGGACCGCTCAGCTCTGAAGGCCGCCACAGGGTGAGGGAACTGTTCTAGAGGGTCCGGCAGCGGGCAGGGGGAGGGCTGAGGGGCCAGTTCCAAGGCCTGGGTCACAAACAAGGTAAGGAGTATCACCTGTGATCCAGAGGAGGACGGTCCGCACGGCCCCCTTCTCCCGGGGAACACAGCGGGGAGAGCTGGTGGGGGGCGCGGGGATGGAGGGTGGGAGTGCAGCGTCACACTGCCAGGAGGGCCGAGTTGATTAGGAACCGAGAGAAAAGCGATGGTGCGCAGACTTCCCCCGCAGGGACTGGCCTGCAGGGGGCGGTTACAGAACGGACCAGAAGAGGTACCATTTTTAAAGCGTGGGATAGCTGACGCTAATTGCCCAGCAGAGGCTCGGTCCTACTCTATAAATGCAGAATCTGAATCAGAGAAAAACACATAGGGGCCAACAACAGAAGTTGTTAGGAGAGTGTCCCCAGACCCCCGAGTCTCCATCAGGACGCTCGGCAGAGCAGAGAAGGGTGGTACCCGAGGGACACAAACTTGCTGCGTCACCGGGCCTGCTGAGTCTGGCTTCCTGAGTGGCCTTGGGGCTCTTGGGCTCACACTCGAGGGACAAGGCACAGGGTGACCTGCAAGCCAGTGAGGGATGCACCCTTACCTTAGACGGGGTCTCTTTTCCGACGGGCTGCCCTCGGGGAGACGCAGGCATGAGTTCCAGAGGTCGGGACGGCCCGATTTGTCCCTCCGCCCCCTGGTCGAAGGCCTCCGCTTCTTCCGGGCATTGGCCCAGTGGCTGTTCAGAGCCGCCCCCCAGCAGCTGGGGCAGCGGGTCCTCTTCAATGGAGATGATTCTGCGGAGCGGCCGGGAGAGCAGACCCCCGGTCCCCAGCCCCTCTTCTGTAAGGGGGTGCCCACTCAGGCCCAGGGAGCTTCTCCTCCGCAGGATGCCAAACACATCTTCCTCCTCCTCTGACTGGCTGTTTTGGAGAAGAATGAAGAGTGGGGAGAATATTGTAAAATGTATCAGAATGGAAGCTGGGGGTCTGTGACAGAGAGCTGAGGAGCACACTTTTTGGGGGCAGAGAGGAACCAAGAAAGGGAAAACCAGACCCAGCATTGTTCAGCTCATTCATTCAATGTCCTTATGATGAGGGTGAGATGAAGGCGAAGGTGATGATGAAGGTGAAGGTGGTGAAGGTGATGAAGGTGATGAAGGCGAAGGTGATGATGAAGGTGAAGGTGGTGAAGGTGAAGGTGATGAAGGTGATGAAGGTGAAGGTGAAGGTGATGAAGGTGATAATGAAGGTGAAAGAGATGATGATGAAGGTGAAGGTGGTGAAGGTGAAGGTGATGAAGGTGATGAAGGTGAAGGTGATGATGAAGGTGAAGGTGGTGAAGGTGAAGGTGATGAAGGTGAAGGTGGTGAAGGTGAAGGTGAAGGTGATGAAGGTGATGAAGGTGAAGGTGATGATGAAGGTGAAGGTGGTGAAGGTGAAGGTGATGAAGGCGAAGGTGAAGGTGGTGAAGGTGAAGGTGGTGAAGGTGATGCCGGCTCCCAGGTATTAAGCTAACGACAGTCAGCAACAGGTGCACAGCCCCGCTCTCGTGGAGCGCTTAGCTTAGCAGGGCCAGGGCAGTCATGACACACTCACTGCGCTGTCCCAGACTGTGGGAGGCGCCACAAAGGAGAAGCAAAGGGTGAAGAAAGAAGCACAACAGATGTGGAAACAAAGCCTCCTGGGTTAAAGGGCGGTGGCCTCTGCCCTGGTCCCATGCCAGCCCTTACCAGCTGTGTGTCCCCAACTCTCCAGGCCTGTTTCCTCACCCTCCCGCCCTGCCCACCTCCCCAGTAAGCCAGTGCAGAAGCCAGACCCGTTAGGGAAGCAGCCCTCGGGGATGCAGGCGAGGGGGACCACTGCTCTGGGACGGACCCCGGCACGGCAAGCGTCCACCACCAGCTCAGGGTGGGAAGGAAGCTCTCCACCCGCTTCTCCTTCCTTTCTCCTTAGGATCAGGAGCGAGTGGCCTCAGAGGCCTGAGTGCACGTTTGCTTCCAGAAACACCTGAGCAACCAGAACAAGGAGAAGCAGCGGGGGGGTGTGCAGCACTCGGGCACCAGACGTGGGTCCAGGGCACGGGCTGTGTCCCCAAGGTTTGTGAGCAGAGGCCCCATGGGCCCCCCTGGTGCAGCCCCCTCTCAGGCCTTAATGAACAAGTCAAGCTGAGGACTGTTTTACGGGGAGGAACTTGAGTCCAGAATCGAAACACACACACACACACACACACACACACTCGAGAACTAGAAAATCGAGCAGGATGTGGTGGTGAGGCGGAAGTGGGCGACGGACACAGAATATGCAGCACAGGGAAAGCCCCTTCACTTTGCCCCAACTCCCGCCCCCCGGCTCCTAGCATTTCTGGCCCCTAAGGACCAAAAACAGAAAAAAAGAGAAAAAAATGCGTGTATCACTGTTCTGAACTCCGGACACTTCTAAGGTAAGTTAAGGTATAGCGCTTGCTCACAAAAGTGCTGACTTAGCTTGGATCCCCTGATATAAAATAAAGGATCTCTAGCAATTCAAGGACTCTTACACTTATTTATAAAATCAGCTTTTTACGGAAACTGACTGCCATCTTTCTAACAAATTTCTTCTACATTCTGACGAGCCTACTAAGTGCCTAGCCACGTCGGCACACAATTGGTGTTCCCATCTGCTTTCACTCTGCTCACACACACGAGTGCACGTGTGAACACGTGTTGTGAGCATGTATGCACGCGCACAGATGCAGAGCATGGCTTTTCAAAGGCCTTGCAACTAGAAAAGACATGGACACTGAAATGACCCTAAATGAAGCGTTTCTTGGCAAAAGCTTCTTACTTGGGAAATTCTCAAGCACTATTACATTCCAGAATACCTTCAGCTTAGCATGACTAAGCTCCTTTTTGGTTTATGCCACCAAATGCTATGCACCAGCGGCAGACAGCAGTCACCTCTGACAAAGTCTGCATGGGAATTCGGGGTTTGCAATTTATCGATTACTCATCAATTATTGTCTGTGTCCTCCATTCAATTATAAGCTCCATGAAAGCAGAGACGGGGTCTATTTTGTTCACTCCGTATCCCCAGCACACGGCACTGAGTCTTGCACAGGGCAGGCACTCAGTAATGGATATTAAGGGCAGGCCTCGTGTCTAATTGATCTTTGGAGACTTCCCAGGACTCAGAGAATGTCGGGTACAGAGTAGGCAATCGGTCTCTGCTTGTTGCAAGCACATATTCCGTTCCGAGGAACCAACAGGTGAACTGTTGATGCAGGGATCTGGCTCCCATGTTGTGTCTCCTGGTTCAGCGATTTAGAAGAGGAGTTCACGATGGTCAGGTTCAAGGTCTAGAGCCGTCAGCGGATTGACATCCCCAGGGCACCTCCGCTTGGCATGTCTATTTCATGCTTGCTGTCCCCAGGTCTCCCGGATGAGCGAGTTCACACACTTTGCCCCGGGTTTGATACGTGGGGGTCTGGCAGCCTCCAGCTCTCTGTGGCCACATCCATGGGAAGAAGCACGTGCCCCAGAGAAGACAGGGCAGGGGGAGGGGAGGGAGGCTGGCGTGCCTCCTTCGGGGAGCAACAGGCCACCCCTCCGGGGACTTAAGTGCAATCGTGTGCTGTCCAACAACAACCATGCATGTCATCCCTGAGTTAATTAAATATGAATTATTGAAAGGAGTCTCGTCAAGTACAGGCCCCATTCTCATCTGTAAAGGACTTCAACGGTTGGAGATTCCGTACTACACTCTAATTACCCTTCAGACTCACGCAGTCCTGTCCCTGGAAAACCAAGAGCATCCGTTCTGCTCAACAGACAGCAGAGCCCGCCCAGCACCCACTCCCTCCCTCTCTCTGACCCCTCTGTCCCTCCCCTGATCTGCAGCCCCTCTTCAGCGCCCCCTGGCAGGAACGGCCTGTCCTAAGTGCTTGCCCTGCACCTGGATGTCAGAACAGGAAGGCACGCGTCCTCCAAGACTCAAGGGGAGCGATAGTGGCTGACCCCAGGCTTCCCGCCAGGGCCAATCTGCACTCAGCTTGGGCTCAGAGCCTGCTCGCAACCTGGCAAGACCCAGGAACAGGTGATGAATGAGCACAGCAGGGACGCCTTACCTTCTGAGCGTCCCTCCGCCATCCACGTATTTGCCGATCACAGAGCCAGATCGCTGCTTCTGGCTTGCCTTGGAAGCAGCTGTGTTTGCCTTGGCTGCCTTGTCTTTCTGTAGAAACACAAAATGCCCTCAGATCCATGCCTACTGATTTGTCCCAACGTTGGAGCAGAAAAGGGCTCAATTCCCCCACCTCATACTACAGGCTTCAAATAAAACTCTAAAGGAAGCAAGCGATGGCCTGGGCCCCCTGCGAACTAGCCTTCACCCACTCCTCCCTTCTGCTGTCATCTCTCACCATAATTCCTCCATCTCCCATCTAATAAGCTAATCAAAGTTTCGAGCCTGGGGTCTGCCAGGTTACCCTCCCCAGGAGTAGTGATAATTTTCAAGAGGACAAGCTAAATGTGGGATGCACAGGAAAAACATGTATGGGCAGAAAAAACGCTGTGCATCTTTAAATCACACACCTTCTTCAGTGGGGTTTCGATCCCTCTTTATTTCCAAACCCCCAGACAGGAGGATCAATGAACCCAGAGCCTTGCCCACAGCTACGAAGCTAGGACAGGGTATTTCAGATCTTTTGTGGAAGTAGGCTGGCTGTAGGTAAATTGCTCACGTATCTGCAGTGGAGAGACTGGGTGGAGTGGGGGGCTTACACCTGCCTCGCCAGGGCTCCCCTGACAGATGTCTTCCAGATAAGGGGGGGTTAGATCACAGGAAGAATCTCTCATTAACCAGCCAATGCTGTGGTTCCTAGAGATCCTTCCTGAAAGAAGGAGGGGCTGCAGTGCCCCAGGGCCCCCGCAGGTATGGCTGTGATCCCAGATTAATCTTTAATTGTGATTCGGCATGAACGTGATTTTATCCCTCTTTCTTCCATTCCCCACAAGGGTTCTTATTCCCTTAATTCCATTCCCTTCTCAAAGCAGAATGAGTTTGGCAGGTGAAGGGAAGCCAGGTCAAGGGATTAAGGTGATATTTGTTAGAAAGTTTTAAAATAAATTCAGTGTTACTTCTTAAACAATTATAACCATTACCACCATCCAACAAACATGTGTAGCCTTAAGCCTTGCTCTGATAGTACACATAGGTGGGCGGCAGAGACATGTTGCTGACAGCCAGTGGTAGAAAAGACATTGTGATGTACAAGGTCCCTAAAGGATCTGCACTTATAAACTAGGTTGCACCGAATCCGGGGCAAGCTAGCTGCCGTGTACTGACCACATTTAGGGCACTGAACAGCTGAGAGTCCAGCGCAAGACCTTCCTTTCCAAGAGTTTTTCACACGCACAAAAATCCCTACAGTATGGAAAAAAAGGATAGAGATTCTCTTTCCTCATGTGATAATGGGGGTCATGGCCCAAGGAGGCTAATGATTTGCCCGAGGACACACGTGAAATTCACCGTGCGATAATCCTGAAAATCAGAATGTCACATCAATCCATCCTGCCTGCCTTTTTCTTCCCTTCACGGCTTCCACGGCTACGGTCTAAAGGGGAGGATGTTAGGGGAATGAGAAATCCTAGATTCTGTTTAACGCAGCTGGAAGTGAGATTCTTTAAATAAATACAGGATTTTCGTGCTATTTGGGAAAGTATGTAACTGTGGCACTCAGGGTCAGAGAAGCATCGGTCCCCATAGGGTAAAAAAATTGTACATAAAATCAACTATGTAAATGGTGAAATATACTTTTTTTTTTTTTTTTTCTTTTTGCGGTACGCAGGTCTCTCACCGCTGTGGCCTCTCGCGTTGCGGGGCACAGGCTCCGGACATGCAGGCTCAGCGGCCATGGCTCGTGGGCCCAGCCACTCTGTGGCACACGGGATCTTCCCGGACCGGGACACGAACCCGGGTCCCCTGCATCGGCAGGCGGACTCTCAACCACTGCGCCACCAGGGAAGCCCGAAATATACATTTTTAATTCTTTCTACGACAGTGTGTAAAAATGAAAAAATTTCATCAAGCGATCAACATGTTAATGAAGAAAAAAACTGAGCATTTTGGTTTAAAAGTCATGGTGCCATTTCAACTGCACCGTCTCATGGATGGTACGATCATTTCTACATCCAAGAAATGTGGGACCCTCCCAAGTATCCTGGTCTCGTGATGCCAAGAGGAAAGTGTGTCACTTCACGGGGAATTAACACACTATGACCCTATAGGTCAACCTGAATTTTTACTATTTTCAAAAAATCTTATGCCACCGTCCTGCCCACACAAGGAGTGACCAGATTCCAAGCCTCAGGATCTTCTTGGGCCAGTCCCAGCGCAGGTCTGGCTGCCACTGGACCCCAGTCTTCGTCTTCCCCCAGGGGAGGGGGCACTGGCCAATTACCTGAAAACATATGTCCCGTTCATCCCGAAGATGCTTGTTCCTTTCCCTGTGGATGGAAAAGGGGAATCTATTCAAACATGGGGCTTGCAGTCAACAGATCCAATAGCATTGGTTTGACGGTCAGATGGGTACAGAGGAAGGCCGGGCATGGAAGGCCCGGGGAGGGCGCGGAACCGCTTTCCTTAGTGATTGTGGCTAAGGGTAATTGTGTATAAGTCAGGTCAGAGGCAAGGGGATACACAGAATGGCTTTGTGACACCCAGGGCCCTTCAGGATCCTGCATTGGTCCATCTGATCACTAAGGGAGCTTTCCACAGAGCTGACCAGGCGTTCCAGCTCCGCCTTGAACTTGCTGTGGCCCCCCCCTCCTCTAAACCTTTCATTCATGAGTGCATGTGTGGCTGCATGCCACACGTGTCTCCCTGAGCCCACACTGTGTGCCGGGCACTGCTCCAGCTGTCAGGGCTACACCAAGGAATGGAAGAAAAAGTTCCTGCCCCCAGGGCATTTGTATTTCATTGCTATTGAGAAAAATAAAGTGGGGGAGAAGTGGCATAAAGAGGGCCAGAGATGGAGGGTGGTCAGGGAAGGCCTCACTGAGGAGGTGGCATCTGAGCAGAGGCTTAACGGGTGCGGAGGAGAGAGCCCAGCAGGGATGGGGGAGAGCGTCACAGGCAGAGTGAATGGCAAGGGCAGGGACTGGGGTTGGGAGACACGTGGTGTGCATCCACTGGAACGGAAACGAGGGAGCGGATGCTCAGAGCGAGGTCGGAGGAAAGATGGGGGAGGTGGGGACCTGCCATCCCCTGCCTGTGGGCCACTGTCAGAACTCTGAATTTATCCCAATGAGATACAAAGCCATGCGGGGCGGGCTTTGGCCGAGGAGTGTCCTGACCTGACTCAAGTTTTAAAAGGAGCCCTAGAAACGCTGGGCTAAGAGTGATGTGCTGGGACAAGGATGGGGCCCTGAGAACTGGCCCATATTTTAAGCAACGTGGAGGTCATTGGTTCCACGTTCGGTGGAACAGGGGGAGAAAAAGCCTGGTGGAGGGTTGAGAATGCAAGGCTGGGAAATGGAGGCGGCCGAGTGTAAATGGAAACAACTCTTTGGGAAGCTGGGGAGCCACGCCTTCGTCTCTTGCCTCCTGGAGCATCTCCATGCAGAGGCTCTGATAGGCAAGGGAACGTTCTGCTCTGCACATGTGTCCTCTGTCCTTCGTGGCACGGCTCTGTAGCGACAGCCGTGCACCAGTCACCCAATTCTCCCAGGAAGCCTGCGACACAGGCATGTCCAGGTTGTTGACAACTGCTCAAGGTTGCACAGGTGATGAGGGGCTGGGCTGAGTCTGGAACCAGATCCAGCTCCAAAGTGCACGTTCCTACCAAGCGCCCTGAAACTGCTTCCATGTGCCCCCATTTCCCTTAGGACGGCAGCCCCTCGCCACTGGGTCACACCCCGGCCATGGTCCCGATCCCCCCCCAACAATTCCCGCTGTCCCCCCATCCCACCTGCTCCCAGCTATCTCTGTCTCTCCCTGATGCCCATTTCCCCCGGCTCTCCGTCTCTACCCGGAGATCTCACTGTGGAGGAAGAGTCTGCCATGGGCTCTCCCGCCACATCCGGGCTCTCCCCGGCTGGCTCGGGGACCAGGTGACAGCACAGCAAGGTTCAAGCTGGGATTCTGCACAGACACTGGTCTCCATGAAAAAGACCCCCAAGTGTTGGCAGAGTGCTGCCTCTTCATCCTCCCCTGCGCCTTCACACTGAATCTGCCTCTGTATTTTTTTCTAAGTACAATAGAAAAAAGGGAAAAAACCCAACCAAACTCGTTCTTGTACATCTTATTCTCTGCCTTCACTAAAGCCTTCCTGAGAACCCACACCTTCTCTCACAGGGATTAAAACTTGGCCCCTAAGAACCACTTCCATCTCCCTGGCCTTTGGAATCACATCTTGAGGGAAACAAATCTGAAATGCATTCAGTTTGAAGAACTTTTCTATTTGGTGGATGCAGTGATCTTACCTTGCTTTCAAATTAAAAAAAAAAAAACAACCTAAAAACCTTCAAAAGGTACCCAATTCAAACCCACCTGCACTTTAAAAATCAGGACCCAAATTTCATCACTATTCCCCAAGAGGTGTTTGACAGGCAGCAAGTATAGTAACTTAGAAAGCTCAGAGGCAAATTGAACATTCCATTTTCCCCACACCCGTTTGCGTTTGGTTGTTTTTTGGGGGGGATAATCCAGACCAAACCAATGAGCTTTGAATCTACAGGTAGTGTAACAGGCTGAGGACACTCCAAACGCCCTTCTTGCTGCTCTGTTTGTGCCTCATTTACTCATTCAACAAACACGAACAGAACACGGCAGAGTAAAGAGCGCCAGCCAGCTGGGGACTCAGTTCCGGCTCTGGCAGCGAGCGTCCGGGTCACTCTGGTAAATTACTCCATCGCTCTGATATCAGCTTCCTTGATGGCTAACCCCTGTATTAACAGCTGCCCTACTTCCCAGGTTTTGTTGAAGATGAAGGAGATACTACCTCTGGCATGGACTAGACGCTCCATAAATTCAGTTCTCCTCCTACCTGAGCAAGTACTGTGCCAGGTACCAAGCAGGAGGAGGCAGCGCCTGCCTGCAGAGGTACAAACTGGAGAGGGGGCTGGGCACCTGTGTAAATGGACCAAACATAATGGAGAGGTGGTGCTCAGTTGTCCAACAGTATGTTGGGGACCAGGGAAATGTGGGTGCTCCCTCAGCAGGCAGGGGAGACTCTGGGGGTGCCCCTTCCCACCCAAGGCTCTGGGATGCGGACGCACCTTAGGAAATCCAGCTGTTTCAGGAGCCCTGACTTCTCCCGCTGCAGACTCTCCGTGACGCGGTACACTTCCCTGCAGGGGATGCAAGATGGCAGTGATGAGTGACATGTGGGGGGAGGGGGTGCTACCAGGGCACGAGGCAGTGATGAAGTTGGACCCGGAAGGTGATGCCCGGGCTGGCCTTCCTCTGGAGAGCACGGCCTCGTGCAGGCCTTATAGCCAGGTCTCACCAAGTCGTCTCAGACACCCTATTTGGAAGGTGAAATGATCCCTGTTTTTTGGGGTTTTTTTTTTTTGCGGTATGTGGGCCTCTCACTGTCGCGGCCTCTCCCGTTGCAGAGCACAGGCTCCGGACGCGCAGGCTCAGCGGCCATGGCTCACGGGCCCAGCCACTCCGCGGCATGTGGGATCTTCCCGCACCGGGGCACGAACCCGTGTCACCTGCATCGGCAGGCGGACTCTCAACCACTGCGCCACCAGGGAAGCCCGATTCCTGTTTTATAGACACAGATAGTCAAGTAGGTTTGATAACTCTCCCTGGCAACCCAGGACTGAGCCAGGGTCCTAATCTAGACCCCCGACTCCCTGTCCCAAGGATACAGCTTGATGATGACTGCACTGTTTTCTCAGGCTCCCGGTGGTCCTGCCCCACCCCCACCAGAGGTCAGGGAATCAGAATCGATACTCTTCTCCAGCCCAGCCTCGCAGAGTGAGAGCAGAGCTGGTGTTTCTCCCTCCCCCCGTCCCCCGCCCCCCATGCTGGTTTAGTTTGTATGCAGGAGCTATTGAAGACCTATCTTTCCTTCCCCACTTTCCCCCAACAGTCTCCAATCTGTTCCCGGAGATCTGGAATTTCCACTGTTGCACATTCATTTCTTTGACTAAAATTTCTTATCTCTAGCTACAAAGCAGAGATTTAATGTATCAATCATAATCCGTCATTTACATCACAGTGTGAGCGTGTCAATCACAGGAGTTTTGAGGAAGGGGAGAGAGAAGCTGAGACGTACACAGCGTGGCTGGAGGGCAACGCAGGCTGCGAGGCAGGGGGCTGTGTGTGCCTTGTTTACATCTGTATCCTCAACACAGTGGCTGGCTTGGAGGTGCAGTCAACAAACAGCAGTGGGAAGAGAAAAAAGAGAGAGGGCTAAAGGAGGGGCGGGGAGGGCAGATGGCAGGGATGGAGGGAGGAAGAGAGCTGGAGGGGGAGGGGCGTTTAGGAGGAAGCCAGCACCACTCAGAGAAGAAAGGAAAGAAATAAAGCAGGGCTTCCCTGGTGGCGCAGTGGTTGAGAGTCCGCCTGCCGATGCAGGGGACCCGGGTTCGTGCCCCGGTCCGGGAAGATCCCACATGCCGCGGAGCGGCTGGGCCCGTGAGCCATGGCCGCTGAGCCTGCATGTCCGGAGCCTGTGCCCCGCAACGGGAGAGGCCACAGCGGTGAGTAGGCCCGCGTACCAAAAAAAAAAAAAAGCAGAATGGGGTGATGTTGGAAAATAAACCTTGCTTAACCGCACAGTTCTGCTTCCATCCTTCCCTCTGTGCTCTGCACCACAGTTCAGAGATTTTAAATCTCCCCCAAACTTACTGCAAAGGGTCCCGTATTTCCAAGCCACAGCCTAGTAAATGCGTCACTGCCACGGGCCGTCAGGGCTGCCTTGACTGTGCGCGGGCTGAGCTGCGTAAGGACGGTCTCCTGGCAAAGCCCATCCACGTCACCACGAGCTTGCTGGGGCCACAGGACTCGCAATCGCCTTATTCCTTGAGCGGTATCTGTGGGGGTTCCCCCTTTATAGCAGAATTATAAAGTCACTTTGCGACAGTAACAGACTGTCTCAAATACCGGGTTCACCTCAGACAATGCTTATTCAGTAACAGAACTTCTCTGGCTCCTGCAGAGCTGCAAACTCCCAACATTTTATTACCAATTATATTTAATGTCAACTGGAGGGAAAACAATGTCTTCCCTATTATCCAACCTGGGTCCCTAAACGCCGTCTGGGGCTCTGCTCGGAAGGGCACCAGGTGAGCACAGCTGTCTGGTCGCAGCCTGGCGCCCTGGGAGCTCAGGTTACCTGCGTCGGGCTTTGGGGCTCCGCCACCCCCATCCCGGGTCCTGCTTCTTCCTGGGGCAGCCGAAAGCAGAGGGCTTTCCCCGCTGAGGACAGACACACCGGAGACCTAACCTAATGGGTCCTCACAGTGTCTGACCGAGTGGCCAGTTCCTCCACAGCCAAGAGGACCTCAGTCCAAGCCTCCTCTGGCCCTGCTTACAAGGCACCAGGGGCCTTGGCACCGTGCACACACACACAACTACACACACATACGTGGTATGCATCGGTGCCAACCTACGTCTGTTTGTCTAGTAGACACACATCTGTCTAAACATGCACACGTATGTATATTCAGATAGATTTTTTGTGTTAACAAATAGAAAAGCATTTCTGCAAAAAAAAAGACACTTGGATATTTCACTAAAATGACCTTGAAAGTCCTTCTAACCTAGACGTTCTACAAGTTTATGTCTGGCTAACAGGTGAAGCGAAGGGCACAGAACTTGCCATTTTGCGGTGGTAACTGGTGAGAGGTTTCTGGCTGCTGGAGCGAAGGGCTGTTGGCTGGGTTTTTATGAGAAAGAAAGGAATATGGAGCGTTCTCCAAAGGATCCGTCAGTGGAAAATGCAGGCGAATGTAGAACTGTGTGTGCTGTCGCTTTGTAAAGAGTGTGTGTGTGTGTGTGTGTGTGTGTGTGTCTCTGTGTGTTTGTGCCTGTGTGTGCATGTGTGTGTCTCTGTCTCTGTGTGTGTGCATGTGTGTCTGAGTGTGTGTCTCTGTGTGAGTGTATCTGTGTGAGTGTGTGTGTCTGTGTCTCTGTGTGTGTGTCTGTGTGTTTGTGGGGGGGTCTGTGTGTGTGCGTGGGTGTGTGTCTGTGTCTGTGTGTGTGTCTGTGTGTGTGCGTGTGTGTGTGTGCGCGCACATGTACAGAACACTCTGGAAGGAGCCAGGACTGGTGCCCTCTGGGTGACGGGAGGCTGGGAGTCAGGGGTGGGGGGCAAACCTCTTTCTGCCACATTTCGCGCCTTGTCATAAACCACCTCTCCCCCAGATAGAGGTGTTGCCTTCCAGCCGACCTTCATCTTTATATTGTCTCCCCGGCTCGACTGCTCCTTCTTTATCTGATTTTAAAATCTAGTTCTCCTTCCTTGGGCATCTTCAGAGAACAGGAAAATTCATTTTGTCCATTCAGAACTCCAGCTGATACATGACGGGGTCTGTTGATCTAGAGGCCCACTCTCCCCCCTCCCAGCAGCATCCGGCAGCTGGACATCATGGGGGAAGCACAGGGTATCAGGAGGACGAGGCTCTGACCTTGTTTTCTGACACTAACTAGCTGGGTGGCCGCGGGTTGCTCACTACCCCTCTCTGAGCTTGTTTTCCATTTGTGAAATGAAGAGGTGGCTTCCAGCACAAAGGTCCTGTCGGCTCTGCTGGTCTGGGATCCTGCTCTATGGAGGACAAGCTAAGCCTCCCCCTGCCCTTCTCTCCGGGCCGCTCTGGACGAGACACGCTCTCCTGGGCTCCAGCAGGTTCCCCAGCTGCACAGCTGCTGCAAGCTTCTTATTGAAACAAAGTCGCGAAGGTTCTGGACTCATTTATCTCTCCCTCCTAACCCTCCTTCCCTCTTTTTCAATTCCCAGCCTCCAGAGATTGTGTGTCTGGCTTGCTTAATTAAGATAAGACTTCAGAAAGATTTTAATCCTCACGCTGTGATTCGTTACGCCGGCTCCATTTGCGGTTCTCATGCCTGTGCCTTTCAGATGTTTGTCGCCTTCAGGACTTGATTGAATTTTAAGAGCCTGACTCCTTAATTCTGTATACAAAGTTAAGCACTGGTTGACCTGATCTCAACGGGGAGGGACCGATTTTGCTTGTTTACAATGAAATATACTGTCCTTCCACCGGGCATCCAAGCCTTGAATGGAGGGGTTGATGTTACTTTAAGTCAGCTGCTTGGGAAGACATATCTTTTTCAACTGGAGACGTCTTCCTAGGGTAAAACTCCAAATCCAAACACATCCCCTCCCTCTCACTCTAGATCATTCCCAAACAGTACAGGACATCACACGTGAGGCAGACAGCAGAACAATTTTTTTTTTTTTTTTTTGCGGTACGCGGGCCTCTCACTGCTGTGGCCTCTCCCGTTGTGGAGCACAGGCTCCGGACGCGCAGGCTCAGCGGCCATGGCTCACGGGCCCAGCCGCCCCGCGGCATGTGGGATCCTCCCGGACCGGGGCACGAACCCGCGTCCCCTGCATTGGCAGGCGGACTCCCAACCACTGCGCCACCAGGGCAGCCCCAGCAGAACAATTTGGTTTAGGCTGAGGCACCGACGGTTGGCCAGCCGTCAGACAGTCAGGGCTTTTGAACAAAGAGAGTCAACACAGGTAAAACGTCAAGCATTGGTAAGACTGCCCTGTTTTTGAAATCAGACTTTATACCTTACCTCACCCAGGACCAGGCACCCAGGTTTTGCAGAATGACTACATGAGTCCTCGAACAAACGAGTGAGTGAAGGGTGGCCAGTCCTAGTCCTGGGCACAGTTCTCCGGCTGACTCATTTGTCACTGTGGGGAGTCAGCAGCGTGTGTCCAGCACTTAGCGTCTCAGGACAGGTACTTAACACCTCTGAACCTCAGTTTCCTCATGCATAAATTAGAGTTGATAACAATGGTACCTGGCACATCAGGGTGCTGAGAAGGTCAAATGAGATAATGTCAGATTTTCGACGTAAGTGAGGTACGCTGAGTGCCCAAGACAGTGTTGAAAGCACTGAGTAGCTTTCAACAAATGTTGCTGATGTGAACCCGGCAGTGAATGCACTGGTACGTGGGTGAACAGATAAGCAAGTGAGATTCCGGGGCCTCAGAGAGCCCTTGTTCTCAAAGCCTAACACTCCTGAGACCGATTCCTCACTGACTTCTCTGGGTCAGGTGCAGACCCAGCCTGGGACTGTTCCCAGGGGCACCTCCATCCAGCAAGCTGAACCCAATGGCTGGACACCTAGTTTATCAGCAAACCAGTCCCCAGAGATGTGGGGCTGCCCACACAGGGCCCACACAGAGGAAGGCTGAAAAAGGAAGGAAAAGGAGGAAGGAAAAAAATGGGCAGAGCTGGGGTGAAGCGTCCAGGGCACTGTCACACGCCCTGTCGAGCTACATGCTGACCTCGGAAGTCTTCCTGGCCCACCCTGTTCTCCCAGGTCTCCGAACCATGACAGTCACTGTCTGGTCGTTCCACTCCCTCAGGATTTTCCCCCAGACTGCCCCCTATTTGTTGGCTGGATAACGTCTTTCTAATCACATAATACATTGTCTGAGAATGAGGCTGTACGTTTCTCATCAATCCTAGGGAGTGCTCGGCACAGAACTGGTCTGCTTCACAGTCTCAGAATCCTAGAAGGTTAGAAGAGGTCCCAGGGACCAAGGAGCCCCATCCCCATGTTATGAGCAAGGAGAAGGGTCTGGGGGGCGGGCTAACACGCTCACAGCGGGGGACGGATCCGGAGGGCACAAGGGTGACACTCACATCTCCTTCTCCTGGTGGAGTTTTCGGGCCTCTTGCTGGAGGCTTTCCAGCTGCTGCTGGGCATCCTGCAGCTCCCAGGATGTCCGCTCCAACTCCCCGGCCAGCTCCTGGTTGGTGAGTTTCAGCTTGGTGTTCTCAGCCTTGGTTTCGTGCTTGTCGTTGTGCAGGGCGGTGCACTGGCCTTCCAGCTGGAAAGGAACGGGGGCGTTGTGCAGAGGGGAGCGATGAGCGAGCTCCACCCCCCCATCAGGCTGGCCTTTCCCAGCCGCGCCCTGCTTCCTCCACCTGGTGGGCGGGAACCCATGCTACTGCCCCTCACTGCCCTCAAGCCTCAGTCAGCTTTGTCCTGCCCCTTAATGCACACGCACACACTTCTGGAGGCAGGAAGGATAAATTCAGTTTAATGAGTGTGGCCAGTCAGCGAAGAAGGAAGCAACAACAAGGAATTGTGTGTGACTCTCAAGAGGCCCCTGAGTAATCAGGCAAGCATGCAGTAATTAAGTCGAGTGGCAATCATTCACTGGAGGGATAAATCTAATTGGTAAGAACTTAATGCATAATAGTGAAGAGGAAAGAGAGGAGGAGAAGCCAGGTACACTGTGCAGGGCGGGGGTGGGGGTGGGGGAGGGGAGGCAGCTGGCAGCGAGAGCGTCTTGCTGCAGGAGAGAAACCGAAATCTACAGGTTGGGTACTCAGAGGACTGGAACCGTCTCCAGCCTTAGCATGGGGGTGTCTTCAAGTGTATTTTAATGTGCTGCTAAAAATATCCCTTTCTATTCAAATGGAACCAATGTCTCCGCGTCTGTCCAGGGCTGGATGCCTTCCAGCACCAGACAAAACAAAACAGGAGGCCAAGCGGCATCCGGGCCTCTCTCTCCTATGAGCCCCATGCTTTGGAGACGAGGCTGCGGGCGCGAGGTTTGCCTAGGTAACCCGTCTCCCTGGGGTCCTGAGCCACGCACTCCCAGCCACAGTGGGTGGACCCTGGGACACCACCCAGCTTGTCTCTGGGGACTCAGGTGCATCAGGGGCGCATCTGGTGTCTGCATCCCCCCTGCGGGGTGACGGGAACTGTCCCAAAGGAGGCTGACGCACCTTGTACGGGCACACGGGAAGACAGCTGGAGGCATCCCTGGCCCTCCTGGCAGGAAGACATCACAGTCTGCAGCCTCCCCCCAGATGTCAGTGTCTGTGACCCCTGTACCGCAGCATCCCCCTTATCTCTCATACAGGATGCAGGAAACAAAGTAACGATTTGGCATTCTGGCGGCTCCTGGGCATAATTATACCAGACGCCTGCGGAGGGTACTTGGGAGGATTCTTGGCAATTTTTTCCAAGTTAAACACCAGGCATTGGAGAGTAAAGGCTTTATCTTGGGATCACCTGTGATTTCAGATGCTCTCTTTTGTACAACTAAATGGTTCTTCTCAGATTTAAGAAAAAAAAGTCCGTAAGTGAATGGCAGGGAAAGCGGGCAAGCGCCAGAGGAGGGGATGGAGTGCAGGGCAGGTGCTCTGAGGACACGGACATACCCGCTTCTGCTTCTGGATGAGCCGCTCCAGTTCCTGCTCCTTGGAGAACAGCTTCCGTTCCAGCTCCTGACTGCACGCCTGGAACCTCTCCGTGTCCTGCCAAGGCAGGAAGAAGGACACGTGAGGCCCAGATGCACCGGGAGGGAGACTTTTTCCCCCCCACCTTGAACCTGCTCAACAGCAGGGAGGGGCCCGCCCATCCTTTGGGGTCTTCCCACAACATCCCAGGGCTTTGGTCACCCGCCTGCCCTGGCGGATGGAGAGTGTGCACGACGCCAGCTCCCACCACGTATGACATGTCGGATGACCGCCTCTCACGAGAGAGGCAGCGTCGGTTAGTGGGCGGGTACCGAACGGGGAACAGAACAGGGGCTGAGCTGGAATCTCAGGCCTCAGGCTCCTGTCTGTCCACTGGAAGATGGAATGTCCTTCCGGCTGGGATATTCTGTCCATGTTGGGCGCAGTCATTCAATCCTTTAAACTGCCCTCCCTCTGAAAACACAGGGGCCCCACTTCTTCCTCCTTCAGGCGGGTCTACGCCCTCGCTGTGTCCCCGCTGGGACGGAGGGCTCCCAAGCCCCGGGGAGGGTCTCTCCCGTGAGCTCCACAGCCCCTCCCTCCTGCCCTAGAACCGGCCTTCCCCACTCAGGGATGCGGAGACCCCAGTGATGCAAGCGGGAAGGGGCCTGGTCGTGGGACAAAGAGGAAAGTGTGTAGCTGGCAGGATGCCTGACACTCACCAGAGCCTGATCTGGTGTAAGGGCCCTGAGTGGGCAGCGGGAGACTCGGGATCCAGCCCTTGCCTTGCCCAGCCTCCCTGCTTTTTCCTTCCATGTCGCTGTTTCTTGGGAAACATGCTCTCTGCTTGTCCGAGGCATGGCCGCGGCGCAGGCCAGGTAGGAAGAGGAGAAAGCGTCACAGCCTCCATGTAACTCACCACGGGAGCCCCGCGGGCGTTCCGTGCCGCGGAACGACACCTCCCCAAGGAGGACAGTGGTGAGACGCAGCCCTGGGGGCAGCCCTGCCTGGAAGCAGCAAGGTGAGGGGACAGCAGCCCCCGTCAAAGCCCAGGGCTCTTCCTCAGCCCCTCATCTGGGGACGCCACCTCGTTCCTCAGCCTACTTTTTTTTTTTTTTTTTTGCGGTACGCGGGCCTCTCACTGCTGTGGCCTCTCCCGTTGCGGAGCACAGGCTCCGGACGCGCAGGCTCAGCGGCCATGGCTCACGGGCCCAGCCGCTCCGCGGCACGTCCGGGGCACGAACCCGCGTCCCCTGCATCGGCAGGCGGACTCTCAACCACTGCGCCACCAGGGAAGCCCTCTCTGCCCATTTTGGACAGGTCAGCGGGGCTCGGGGGGAGCCCGTGACCGTCCTCGTGTCGGCCACACCTGACGGTGGAGGCAGGGTATGACCAGGCAGCCTCTGCTCCCAACGTTTGCTGCAGGGAATCTTGTTCACCCCACTGGCTGGGGGTGGGGCGAGCAGCTCCAGGACCCCCAGCTGATGCCGGCAGCCCCACAGACCAGACGGAGTGTCTTAGCGGCCCTGCCGGGCACAGAGTGCTGAGGGGGTCACGGCCAGTGGGATGCCGAGCGCCAAGCCCTGGCCAGAGGGTGCAGCCTCTCACGCTGTCATGAACTGCGGACCACCAGCCTCACACGGTGGCCAGGCCACGCCTGCGTGCCCCAAGGCTTCACAGCACGGCCGAACACGTGTTCACGGCTCCCACGCGTACGCAAACAGCATATATCGCAGCGCTGAGCCTAAAAGGCGTTTGGGGCTCAGAGGCCTTGAGAAGGGAGAAGCCGGGCTGGGGGGTGGGGTGCGGCAGCGGGGTCAGACCCCCCAACTGGGGCAGATTTGCCCTGGAATTTCCACCCCCGCCCCGACCTCTTTCCGTTCCAGTCCCCAGGCGTTGACCCACCTATTGCTTCTGGAAGCAGCATCTTTCCTTAGCTATGACCTTTGACTTGTAGTCATGGTGGGGGGGAGGGGGCCGAATGCCGCCCCCCCGCCAGAACTCGGCCCCTCTGTGCACAAAGCCACTGGGGTAAAGGGAGCAGGTCTACTATTGCAGGGGATGCGGGGGGGCGGGCGGGTAAGGCTGAGGCTCCCGGAAGCCCCCCCACCCCCGTAGGGTCTGCTCGGTGAGGAGATGCGTGTTCTCTCTGCCTGTTCTGTTCGCCTTCACTAAGGCTGGAAGTCGGGGGAGGGCGGGGTCAGCCAGGATGCATTAGCGCTCTAAAAATGAAGGCGAGAGGGAGGTCTGGAAATACTGCCCAGCCTCTAGAGGGCTCTGGGTGGAGAACACAACCGGCTTTTTCTGGAAAGCATTCTGACGCCCTCTCAGCTGGAAGGGCATCTCTGATAAGAAACGGGGCCCTGGTGTGGATAATGGGCAGCATGAAGTGAAACGCTGGTTTGGACCCACCTGCCTTAAGGAGCAGGGAAGTGATGTGACAGCGGCTCCGCAAGCCGGTGATGGGGTCTCTGTTCAAAATTCATACGTTGAAACTTAACCCCAAGGAGGTGGGCTCTTTGGGAGATGATTAGGTCACGAGGGCAGAGCCCACCAGAGTGGGATTAGTGCCCTTGTCCGATACCCCAGAGAGCCAGCTTGCCCACGTGAGGACACAGAGAAGTTGGCAGCCTGCAACCCGGGACAGGGCTGTTACCTGAACCCGACCACGCTGGCACCCTGATCTTGGACTTCCGGCCTCCAAAGCCGTGAGAGATGAATGAATGTTGCTTATAAGCCACCCAGGTTATGATATTTTTGTAATGGCCCGAACTAAGACAGGAGGCCACCTTTCAAATCCAAGACTTTTCCGCTGAGAACCCAACAAGTGGATAATCCGAAAATGGATGAGAGGGAGTTTCCTGTAGCTCCATCTGACGAATATGTTCCCCGAAAGGATCCTGCTTAGCCTGGAACAGGAAGGGATTTCACCAGTTCTGAGCTCCCAAGACAAACGGCGGGGCTTGGGGGAAGGCTGAGTGCCTGACTGAGAGCAGGAATGTGAGTTTTACATTTTCCCCCGTGGAATTCGAGAAGAGTGGCACTTGAGTTGTCTTGGGAATTAAAATTTCTAGGCTTCCAAGGGGAAAGGATGGGAAGCATCGGCTCTAACAAGGGTCCCCTTAGGGGAGCTGCTGGGCGTGGAGTGGCACGGGCTGCCGCGTTCATGCAGGCTTGCCGTGGAGGTCTCGGGGGCAGCCAGCGTCGAGCCAGGCTTCAGGCTGCTTCAGCTGGTAAAGCCCCTGCATCCTTCTCTGCACTGATTCCTTGTTCATTCATTCACTGATTCAACAACTCCTTGTTGAACGCCTGCCTGCTGTGCTCCAAGCACGGTGGAAGTGCTGAGGGTACATTAGCACGTAAAGGTAAAGATCCCTGCTCTTTGGGGCTTACATCTTAGTAGGACGAGACAGACCACAATCAATGAAAATAACCCGGGAAATTATATGCCATATTTGAAGGTGACAACGGCCTTGAAAAAAATAAAGCAGGGAAACAGGAAATCAACAGTGCCATGGGGCACTGCAATCTGAGATCCGGGGCTGGGGAGAGGGCATGCTCAGAGCAGGTGGTATTGCAGCCCGGCCCGCAGAGCCAAGCCCCGGGAACGGACTCTTGCCTTCAGGAGAAACTGCTCTTCCTCGCTTTTGATTTGCCGTTCCATCTCCTCGTAGAGGTGCTGGATCTCTTCATCATAGGCAGCACTTTTCCTGCACAGGTGACAAAAAGAGAGCGTGATAAGACGCCTTTATCCCCCAGTGGAGCTCTGGGTGGCGTGGGCGACCATGGCGGTCGGGTCGGCCAAGGCTGCAGGGTCAGCTCCCCGGGATCAGCGGACCACTGGGGCCCAGCAGGACCCTCTCATCCTCCTGTCTCCCAGCTGTCCCTCCCAGGCATCCCCGGCTCCACCTTCCTGTCCTCTGCTTTATCTCAGCACCCATCCACGCAGCCTCTGTGACACTCACCGTCCTATTGCCCACTGACCCCTATACGCTTGTTGACAGCATAAAGGTGTGCGGTGTGGGCTTCTTTTCTGCTTGGTTTCTTGGTGTATCTGTTTCCCACTTTGGGCACTTTCTCTCTACCTGGTTCCATCAGTACCACCTGAACTGTACTCTCCTGGAAACTATGTGCTGAACTTTGCGTGACCCTCATTTCTCATAGGATCTCAAAAGGTTCCATGGTGGCGACCACCACCACCATCACGACACCCCTAGAAAGGAAGGGGGCCACACCTGTCCAAGGGCTCACCCATCTCGGCACAGGGCCATGGGAAGGGTGAGGCTGGGTAAATGCTGATGGCAATAGTGACACGCTGGGTTCTCAGCGTCCCCTCCTACTCCGACGAACCCCGCAGGATAGGAAGTACGTAGCTGGCCTCTTTGCTCCTACATGGAGATGAGGACAGATGCGGCTCTGGGGACAAGGTTTGTGGGTTACCCCGGGACGGCTCCTCTTTCTCTCCCAGTGATAGATCCTCCTTCAAGTACTCCCCCAAGTTCAAACGGGAAGGACCAGGTATTAGCATTCGAACCAAGACTGGAGACGATCACATGTGACATTCCCAGGGGGTTGCACCTCTACACCTCTTCTCTGACCGGGCATGGAAGGCCCTCTCTGCCCCTCGCTCCCTGCCCTCTGTCCTGTTAAGGAAACTCTAGGCTCCAGCCAGCAGGCTTACGTCATAGCTCTCCAGGGCTGGTTTGAACCTGCAATATACACACCTACTGCCAATTCTGGCACCTGGCATTCTAAACTCAAATGCTGGCGTGCCCTTGTTCTTTATTCAACAAAGAGGCTTTTAAAATTGAACAAACAGCCCTGGTTCTCGGTTCTGAGAGGTACCAGAGAGATTTCGGAAGAAAACATCAAGGATAGGAAAGCATTCATTCCCCTGAGCCTTCCGTCATTCAAAGTCCCACCTCCCTGTAAGCCCAAGTCCCCCGGGACTCCAGTCCAGCGCCAGGCCTCCCCCGCCGCCCGAGGCTGCACCACAGCCCATAGGCTGCCCCTCCCTCACTCGCTACCTGTGCACCACATGCACAGGCCGCCATTTTGACTGGCATCCTTCCAGTTCCACAGAAACCACACAACTGACCCAGACGAGGGAACCGGTATGGATCTGCACGGTCAAGGTCACTCACCTGTCTGAGTTCCCTTTCTTTGTTGTATCCCCAAGACCACAAACCCCACTCTGAGTATGGCACTGGCCCAGGGTGTGCTCCGCAAGAGGACACAGCTCTCCAAGACTCCTCCAAGCCAAGGCTCTGTGTTCACCACTGGGCTTCCCGTCCCAGGAGTAACAAACGCCTTTCTGGTGAAGAGTGAGAACTCTCTTCTTGGTAAATGACAAATGTTTGGATTGTTACTTTGGTTCTTAGCTACCCCATGACAATTACAAGAAAACCTTGGCAGGAAATAAGGAGTCGAGGCTCCTGCTGTTGCATAGGGACACCTCAGGGACAGAAATGATACAGTGGAAAGGAAATTTCAGAAACAGAGATGGTCTTCCCCTGGTGCCTGGAGTGATCTTCCTGTGCTGGAAGAAATTCCAATGCTACGTGGTAAACGGTATCCAGGAAAACTTTAGAGACAGTGATTCCAGCTATATGAGCACCAGGGAACTAATAAAGTGATATGAGAAAAACTTAAAAATGGATTTGACGCTGCTAAAGCAATACTAGTTACAGTCAGGCACGTAAGCTGTGTCCCGTTTAGGCCTAATAACCATGCAGAGCATTAATTCCACACTATCATTAAATGTGTTATATTAACTTGAAGTTTTATTGGATTAAATTAAGAAACTCTATGCTTCTCGTGCTCACATGTCAGTCTGTTAGTCGTGAAGTAATTTTGCAAATTGCTACAAACAAACAAATGGGAGGAAGAGAGATGTAGCCTCTGAATGGCATCTGCTCCCAGCCCTCAGCACGAAGGATGCGCCCACCACAGAGAAGTCCTGGGATGCAGGCGGGCATCCGCGATCCTGGGCCCACACTGGATCAGACATGGAGCTCCTTCTTTGCAGACGCTCTTGAACAAAACCGGCCAGCATCCCGGGAGGCTGCCGAGGCCTGAATGTCTTCAGAGGATGAGCCCTGACCCAGGGTCGGACACCCGAGCCCCGGCGATGAGATCATTAAGGTGTGCACACCACTCCCATCACCAAACCAGCTCAGAGGGCAGAAGACCTCCTCCGATCCCAAAGTAGCACCTGTACCCCCGGTTCCTCCCAGCATCATCTCGATGACCAAACGAGAGAGCAGGTGTGCAAGGTATTTGAACTGCAAAGTCCTAAATGGAGGTAAGGGATTATTTATTATCGTAATTATTATCATGGGCTGCGGGGGGCAAGGGCTAACACTCCCCAAGGGGAAGAGGGCCTTTGTTTCAAGAATAAAAGGGTTGCTAGGTTTGGAAAGGGTCAGAAGCAATCAGCAAGATGAAGAACAGGAAGCTTAGTCAATCAAACCTCCTGTCGGAGCGAGATCCATTCAAGATGCTGGCTGTGTGTGAGCAGGAGCTGCAGAGAAATTATTTTTCTGGAGAAACAATGGCTAGAGACACTCTCAAAACACCTGGGCAGGGCTTCCCTGGTGGTGCAGTGGTTGAGAGTCCGCCTGCCGATGCAGGGGACGCGGGTTCGTGCCCCGATCCGGGAAGGTCCCACATGCCGCGGAGCGGCTGGGCCCGTGAGCCATGGCCGCTGAGCCTGCGCGTCCGGAGCCTGTGCTCCGCAACGGGAGAGGCCATAACAGTGAGAGGCCCGCGTACCGCAAAAAAAAAAAAAAAAAAAAAATATCTGGGCGTATGGCTTACGGTGCTCCAGCTGGGCTTACCACGTTCTGCCATCAGAGGAAAGAGGCAACGGATTATGTTTGCTTATTGTACACCCCTTTGTTGCCACTATTTCTAAAACCACTCAGATTGCCTGACGCACACAAACACAGACTTTGAAGTCTTCTCCATGAGTCCGTTCCAACGCACTGACACCCTTCTCTGACCTCGGAGGACACCGTATGTCTTTATTTGAACATTTCAAAGTCCTGAACTACTCTTTCTTTTCGGTTTATGCTGTCTTCACTAGGTTACGAACGCTCAGACATTGATGTCACCCACAGGGCCTGTGCTCAAAATGTTAATGCTGAAAATCTGCAAGAAATAAATTTAAGACTTTGGATACCAGACTCAGAAGTCTATGGGTGGACCACATGGCAGGAAATACCAGATTCCAGGGGAACTGAAGAATTTCGGGGTTGGAAGGCTTGTCTGATCCAACCACCTATTTTTCCAGTGTTAAAATCCTCGCCACAATATCTCCACCAAGTATTTACCCAGACTGGGTTAGAACACCTCCAGGGAGAGGGAATGCTGGATCTCTAAGCAGCTCTTTCATCTATGGACTATTCTGGCTCATAGACATGTGTCTTTCTATGACCTTATCCTGCCCCTGTGTAATAACCCTTCATATATTTTAAAACAGCATTAAGACGTCAAGGAGTAGCCTTGGGTTGCGGTCATGCCTCTCCACTTCCTCCAGCCATGTCTCACGTGGAATTTTTCTTTTGGAAGTCCCTTCACCATCCCCTTTACTCTTCTCTGAATGGGCTCTAATTGAGCTTTCTCAAGCCATAGAGTCGCAAGCTGAATGCCCAGTGTATGAGGGCTGGTCGGTGCAGATTAGATCTCTCTTGCTCTAGTTGCTGCCTACCTATTCATGCAGCCTAAGAGCACATTCACTTTTCTGGGCAGTCACATCACATAGTTGATGAACGCTGAACCCATTTGTCGACTAAAACCTCGAAACTTGATGGCAGAGTGATGGTTTTTGTTTTAAAGATGGTGCGACTGAGGGACTTCCCTGGTGGCACAGCGGTTAAGAATCCGCCTGCTAATGCAGAGGACGTGGGTTCAAGCCCTGGTCCCGGAAGATCCCATATGCCACGGAGCAACCAAGCCCACGAGCCACAACTACTGAGCCCATGTGCCACAACTACTGAAGCCCATGCACCTAGAGCTTGTGCTCCACAGCAAAGACAAGCCACCACAACGAGAAGCCCACTTGTTACAACTAGAGAAAGCCCACGCACAGCAATGAAGACCCAAAGCAGCCCAAAATAAATTAATTAATTAATTTAAAAAACAAAGAAAAAGATGGTGTGACTGAATCATATCTCTCCCACCTTGTGCTTTGGCCATTGGTGTTTTGGATTTGGGCAAGATCTCAAATGTAATTCTGTTAGATTTTATGCCTGTTAGATTCAGTCCATCTTTCTCAACTGTCACTATCTTAATGGATCCCAACTGGTGGCCCAGTGTATTCAATGACCTTCCAAATTCTGTTGATACTTAAAGTTTTCAATCATAATGTAATCTAAATAACCTATAATGTTGGTTTTGATTAGTTAATTTATCTGAGATTTACTTAGAAGAGCATTTTAGGGACTACTCTGGTGGTCCAGTGGTTAAGACTCCGAGCTCCCAGTGCAGGGGGCCTGGGTTTGATCCCTTGTCAGGGAACTAGATCCCGCATGCTGCAACTAAAGAGCCCCCATGCTGCAACTAAGGAGTCCACATGCCACAACTAAAGCTCCCGTGTGCCATGACGAAGATCCTGTGAAGCCAAATAAATAAAATAAATAAATATATTTTTAAAAAGAAAAAAAGGAAGAGCATTTTAAAAAATATATAAACTGTTGGTTTCTAGTTT